AATACTTAGAAGCTCTATGCTCGTGCATTTCTAACGCTTATACTATAGGGTATTAGCGACTACGTAGACCCTCGACTACGTAAGGTTTCCTACGACGATTGGATTAAACATGTAATTAAGTAGGATAATAGTACTAGCCCTATCTAACACTGTTTTGCGAGTTATTCTCGATTCCGTTATGTAGCTCTTAATACTCTTCTAAGGAAGCAGACTCGCAAGAAGGCCGATTATATTATATAGTAGAACCCGGATTTCAAGGAAATTACCCTTAATAACCTCCGCAACGCTATTAATAGCGATAATAAAGAAGCTAAGCGATTGCTGTCTACTATCGTACGCTACGGGAATACGCTACGAGGCATACGCGCGTATTAGATTGCGAAGACGGCTAAGTTAGAGAACTATATTAAGGCTATTAGCTGCCTATACCTCTTCCTTACCTTTAGTGCTATAGACTTATACTAGGCCTACTAGCAAAAGCATATGCCGACAATACTAATAGGTACTAAGTACGAGCGTGTTAAGACTGCCCGTAAGAATCTAAGGCAAAATCCTACTATCGCTATATACTACTTTTATCGGCGTTATTAATTTATTATAGAATTAATACGAAAGAAGTTTAGTATTGTAGACTACTAGAATCGCTATAAGTTCTAGGCTCGTAGCAGCTCCTATAACTACGGATTAGTACAGCCAAAGCCTCGCGAAGGCCTGCCTCTCCCTTAGTCGTTTACGGAAGACGATCGCAGTGCCCTTACTCGATTTTAGTCTAAGTATATTACTGCGAGGAATCTAGACCCTACGCGTACTAGACTAGTTACTAGCGAGCCTGCAGTACTCTAGATAAAGACGTCTAAGGTCGATAGTAGTTAGTACTAACTAATGCTTAACGTTAACCGAGTATAGCGTTATATATACGGCTATAAGTATTGTTAGCGCAAGAACAAAGACACTAGCTAGATTATATACCGTTTCTATTTCCCTCGCGATACTTACGATAAAGGCATCGTTACGAAAGGCCTTAACCCCCGACATTAGATATACGATAGACCTCGTAATAATACCCGTATAAATAGGTACAATCGCACTATCTAAACCGCCTAGCTTAGTAACAATAACATCGCTATTTACACCGATAAGGGTACTATAGTAGACTACCTTAGCAAATACTATACTAAGTAAGAGAAGCGTAGTAAGTTATTCTTAGAGATTAGTAGGAAGGTCGTACCTAAGATTAATATAGTAGGTACTCGGCTAATAGTGTCCTTTTTCGCAAAGATACTTAATAAGCTTATCGGAGAGCGGGATATCTCTATATAAGAAGAGATACACCTACTCTTAAACCTTCCGCTAGTATAGGGTTCTCGATTGGTCTAGAAGTTCGACTACCGCAAGCCTAAAGACTAAGCTAAGGCTAAGCGTTTCGATAAGGAGGTAGGCGAGCTTGTTACTTAGGGCAAGTCGCCGTTACTAAAGTATATCGAGCGCTATAGTATCGAGGAGTCGAAATTTGCTAAGTCTAATCTAGTTAGTCGGCCTAATCTAATATTGTTTGAATTTCTAACTAAGTAGGACTTCCGCACTTATAAGAAGCGCCTACGCGCTAAGCCGAGAGTTATTAGTTAGTATCTAAAGTATAGTAGTATACCTAACGGCGAAGATAGAACCTACTAGGATTAGTACTAGACTAAGATCGCCTTACACTATCCCTTTAATAGCGCGTACCCGTTACTTAAGAATAGCTATATCTTTGCAGATAATACTAGCGATGCTAACAATCCTCCTACGATATATATAATATAGTCTAGTGCCTATAATTAGTGTAAGACAAACTATACCTATCTAGACGACTACATAGGCGTAAGCCTACTAGACCCGATAGTAGCTTTGTTCGAAGAGGAATATTATAACGAAGAATTAGAGCGAGCAGATAAGGCCTTGCTCGCCGCTATATTGCCTACGCGTCGCCTAGGTAAGTAGCTCGAGGATCTTAACGACCTTAGCAACCGATAGATTAACCGTAAGTATAACTAGAAGTCTTACATTAGGCGATACAGTCTTAGAGCGTCCGATATTAAGGACTTTTAGAAGAACCTCCGTAGTATAGAGCGAGCCTAGCGTATTAGAGTTCCTACGGATCTCGCTTAGCGTATTGCTAGCTTAGCTCCTGCTTAGAAGCTGCTGTTTGACTACATTGTCGGTTACTAGAACGACTAGCTTACTTACCTAACAGATCGCTAGTTCTTACTTAATATCGATAGCAAAGCGGGGGTTAGGAAGTTATTTGTTATCGATACGTTGTCGTCCGAAATCGAGCGTATTATAGATTAGTTTAATTAGACTAACTAGCGGGAATATAGTAGTGCTGCCCTTACGGTCCTAATTCCAATTATTCGCCTAGCTCTAACTAGATCCGCTACTAACGGTATTAAGGGTCGCACGATACACTCCTTCTTTCGACTTCTATTAACGTTAAAGGAGTATATCCCCCTCGAGGGATAGGTACTTAATTAGTTCCGATCCGCGGTTAACAATATAGTATATATTATTATTAATAAGAAGTCTATAATCGACTTAATACTACTCTTTTGGATTAATTAGCGCCTACGACAAGTTAGTACTCTTAATAAAGCTAGAGATAATATACCGTTTAGCGGCCGAAGTATTGTTATTATAGGCGACTTTTACTAGTTGCTACCTATTAGCGGTCGACCTCTGTTTTCTAGGCTTAAAGATCTTTATATACCCGAGGATATCGCCGGATACACTTTGTATTAGCTGTTTAATTAGACTATTCAACTTAATATTATTTAGCGATAGTAGGGTATAGATGCCTTATCTTATACATTCCGTAAGGCTCTCGAGGGCCTTCGCAATATTCTAGGGAGTATTACGATCGTATATTAGGATACGTTAGTTACGCGTCTTAAAGCTAATCTTTCGCCTATAGAGCAAGACTTATTTAAAGATACTCTCCGTCTCTACCTATATAAGAAGTAGGTAAACGCTTTTAACTAGAACGCTATACGCGATAATAATACTCCGATCTTTGTTACTACTACCGAACACTCTAGCAGTTTATATATAGCCTAGGCATCGTACGATATTAGTAGCAATCTTTACCTACGGTTACCTCTATATATTGGCGCCCGTATTATAGTAACCTAGAACCTATAGGTAGAGGGAGGTATTGTTAACGGCAGTATAGGCACTATTCGTAACATTGTCTAGGAGGACAATAGTAACGATTATAATAAGATTGTCTAGTATCTTCCTACTGTTCTACTCGTCTAGCTCGATCGATATAATAGTCCGATATTAAACGCGCAGTACGACCTAGACAACTAGTATAATCTTCTAGCTAGTATTATACTAATAGTTCCCGTTCGTCGCGAATAGCTCTACAATTAGCGATAGGATATACGTTGTATGCGAACACAATTTCTAGCTACTATTATATACGCCGTTACTGTCTATAAGTCCTAGGGTATAACTCTAGACAAGGTTGTTCTAGATATATCTAAGAAGGACTTTACCCCTAGCCTATCTTATATTGCTGTCTCTAGAGTACGGAATATCTATAACCTAATGTTTAATAAGCTATTTAACTTCTATAAACGCTTTAAGTAAGGCAAGGCTTAGCGGTTAGTAATCGCTCGATACGCTAACTATATACGTCGCCGCCCTTAGCGCTTACTCCCTCCTAATAACCTTCTCTCGTCGGAAGCCCCGAATCCGGCCTAGCAGCCTTCGCGTAACAATGTTTCTAATCGTAAGGAAGTATAGAAGAAGCGCTAAGATTAGCTAGTTCGGTAGTAGGCCGTATAGTAAGAGCAGCGTCGATAGTAAGAGATAGCGCGCCTAAGAATAGATCTATAGGCTGTCGCTTGTACTAAGTAGATATAGAAGATTCTTTATTAGAATCTATAGCTTCCCTTTAACCTTAATCGTCTAGCCCGTAACTTTACGTATATACCGCTAGAGCTATACGATTATCGCTAGCCCTTACGAGATAGAAGTACTAATATACTATTAGTTATAGGATTAGTAGAGGCCTTTAAGTAGCAATTTCCTTAGTAGGCCCCTCTATATATCTCTTAAGGTTAACAAGGTTAATAAAGTTAATAGCTACCTAGAAATAGCGGCTACCTAGCATATAGTCTTCCTATAATATAGCTAGCCCTAACTTATCCGCTAGCTATAGACTTCTTTTAGCGAGTCGCGGTAAATCGGAAGCAAGTCGAGTAGGTACGAATACTACGGCAATAAGGCTAGCAGCAATCGAGTTAGCTAAGGCCGGTCGCTCCTCGAGACTATATCTCTCGCTATATATATAATTTAATGCAACTAGGCGACATTCTTAATATTGCTTAATTTGCCCGTCGCTTTCTTAATTAGTATCTGTAGTACTAGCTCGATTATAAGTTCGAATATAGACTAGCTTTAGTACTAGGTATTACCTTATACTTCCGCCGTAGTATTAAAGTCTTTATACGCGTAGAAGATCGTAATATATAGGAGGAAATAGCATATAAGGCGATAACTACCTAATAGGCTACTACGTACGACAATCCGTAGGATATAATAGGCACCTAGGAAGTAATTATATTATAGGAAATAGATATAGCGGCTATATAGGATAGTAAGTAAGAGGCAACTTAGTAGGAGCACTATAGTAACGAGGTTAATATAAGTAGGACTTAAATGGCTTAAGTATATTCTATTAAATAATAGCTACTATAGGGCTATAAGCGATCGCTAGTATAAGCGTGTCGCTTATATTAGCAATCCGTGCTTGTAGCGACTATGTGCCGTAGCTACTGCCAATTGATAGGTTGTATATATACTAATAGTTTCTATAGATTAACGTATACTTATAAACAAGCCCTTTTAGCTTAAGTTGCGTAGAGGGTACTAACAGCTTACGTAGATTGTTATTTCGCGCTCGCCCGCTTCGCTAGACTTATTAGCACTCGCAGGGCTATAAGTATATCCTTGTCATGAGAATAGACGATAGCCAATTGTCAATTCCCAACGACGGAGGTCTAAGCAAGGCGGCGTGGCAGGAAATTTTGATCGAGCTTTATCGGGCGAGGAGATCTGGCAAAGGAGTCTTCTTTAGGCACATGGCAGCAGAGGCCGTCGCAGTAGCCCTGACTGCCGTCGCATTCCTTTTCCGAGCGCATCTTGGAGGGCGTGATATTTTTGCCTGTGAAGAGAAAGGACGATTGTTGGCAAGCCAAGCAACCAAGTTCCGGAAAAATTCTGGCCTTAGGCATGAAACATGGTCATAGCTCCAAATTAAAGTTTGCGAACCTCACTTCTCAACTTGCTTCGACCGACAAACCTATTCCTTTCCCTCAACATCGACTTTCTTTCATCGGCGCATCAACAATCTCGGCCGTCGACAACAGCGCCTCTGCACATATCTTGTCAGCTCGCAGAGGCAGAGAGCGGCTTCTTCAGGTCAAAAGCCAATGGTGTCGGCGCGATCGAGGTCTCCCGGCCAGAGGAAGTGCGGTGGCCCCCAGGCAAAACTCATAGTCAGACAAGCAATCGCGTATTTCTGGCATGACGACATGGGCAGAATGCGAGCAGTGCTCATGTGCTCAGGGGGGGGGGGCTCACGTTGTGTAATTCATTGGTTCTCTCCTACCCTTCCGGCTAACATATAGAACTCTCCTTATGCATATTTCTATGTATCTCCTCTTTCTTTTTGCCCCATTAGTCGGTCGGCGCTGGCGGGCGACTGGAGGAGGCCAAAACGTTTGATGAGACCGCCATGGTCGAGTTGCGCGATCTGTCGTTCGAAAAAGCGACCCCCACCAATGCAGTACCGTTTATCTTCAAGTCGTACAAGAGATAGTTGACTGCCAGCAAGACGGATCTTTGCTGCGCATGTGAAACTGGAGTCCGCTTAGATCCAGGACTAGTTCTAGGCAACGCGCTACGACAGGCACCAAGTATCCATCACATAATGCTTGTCGCACACGAAGCAACCGCGAAGTTTGGAATGGAAGCCCAGGTTTCGACACGAGCAGCGTGAATGTGAAAACCTTAGGTTGGCCAACCATTGCCACGTGCTAAGCTAAGCTACATCAACGTCAGAAACCCGCCCACCGTCAATCAGAACAGAACATCCTATGTAAGCCGCCTTCACTGGCGCAATGGTTAAGGCGTCTGGTAATAAGTCAAAAAGAAAAATCTGCTGACTGCTGATTCACACAAGTGATGACGAAAGAGGATTTCTGCTTCCGTCCCAATTGGGGCGTTTCGTTTTGCTGTTTCCAAGCTTCATCTTTTTTTTTCTTTTTTGGCACAGGCATCGAAACACCTCGCGAGCTGCCAAATTAAAACGCGCTGTCACACACACGCACCCCCCCCCCCCCCCCCCGAAAAAATTCAACACACTCCGCCACAAATAAAAATGGAAAAAAAGGGAATCCTTTTCCTCCTCCAACTAAAGGGGCTAAAAAAAAGACCAACATTTCTCCCCACGAAACTTTCCCTTTTTCAAAATCCAAAAAACCCCAACCGCAATCAAACCACACGCGTACTTTCTAAGAATCTCCAGAACTCTTCCAACCCGCTCGCTCAGCAAGGAGAGAGAAGTTCAACTAGGTAAAATATAGAAAGACTCTCGGTGGGGCAAAAAAAAATGTAAAGAGAAAAAAAAAAGAAGTGAGAGGTGAAGGAAGAAAGATATATTAGGGAGAAAGGAAGTCGAGGAACTGAGCTTGTAGAAGAAGAAGAAGAAGAAGATCCAGACTTTGTAGGAATAAGCTAGGTGTGTGAAGAGAAAAGGACGTGAGAGTAAGCGATGAACTAACTCACCGAGCGCATGGAATCATAACGCTCGAGCTCGTTATAGAAGCCATGGCTGTGCGGACGGCGCTGAGATACAAGAGAAAATGTTCGATTTCGAAGCGAAGGACTTGGTAAGAAGTCCCATTTCATAAAGAATGCATCATCAACTACCCACTCCCAGCTGTCTCCATTTCCCTCCCGTCCCATCCCACCCCACCCACTCTACCAGGAAACGCCAACGCTAATCCCACACTCAACACTCCGCAACCCAAAAAACAAGAGAGATCCTCCTCACCCCCTCTCCCTTCTAACAACACTCCGACTCCCAACCGGCGGCCTCCTCTCCCCAAAATTATGCAACCGCTCACCCACAAGATAAACCTCATCACGAATCCTAGCCCTCCACCTGCCCGTAGCCTTAACAACCTCCGTAGAACCCAAAAGCGCAAGGATGCAAGCAGCAGTCATGGGGTACGAGTAGCGATTGATCATGAGGACCAAAGTTTCGGGTAAAGAGATGCTGGCCCAGGTGAGGAAGTTGAGGAAAGCGTTGGCGAGGCCGAGGGGGGCGGTGAGGAGGGTGATGGAGAGGAGGGTGATGGGGAGGATGAAGAAGCGGGTGGCGAGGCGGGCGTCCGGGTTGAAGTAGCCGTTGGCTGTGATGCGGCGGACGGCTTCGGCGGCGCGAGAGGTGGGGGTGCTGGTGATGGCGCGGAGGGCTATCCTCAAGTAAAGGAAGCCTAGAGCGTAGTCGGAGAAGATGTGGACGGCGTGATCCGCGAGGGTAGGTGAAAGCTGGTCTAAGGACTCGGTCTGGTTGCCTTTGGTTGCAAACGCGGTGAGGGTGGTGTTCAAGAAGTTCGTGGCGGTGCTGTTAGTTCCATTGGCTGCTGCTTCCTTCAGTGCGGGCGCGAGATTCGCCACCAGATATGTGTGTAGCGGGAGGATGAAGTAGAATTGGAGGAGGAGCGCAAAGACCAGTGGCAGCATGGCCAGGAAGCCATAGACGTAGAAGCACTTGGCAGCTTGTAGGGTATACTTTTTTGCTGCATCGGTCCAGGCCTTGAGGTCTATGTCGGCTTTCTCACGCAGAGACCTCGCTGTTGGGCCACCGTGAAGGATAATGTATAGCAGACTGCCGAAGAAGTACGCACCAATCGAATACGGATAGATGTCGTTGACCATGACGTGCGGAGGAAGGACTGCGGAGAGTACCATGCGTCCGAAGCACAGTGGCAGAAGCGTGACACAAAGCCCAGTCATGGCAGAGAACATCCACAAGCACACCATGAAGAGAGTAACCCTCAGTCGGAAGAAGGGCGGCACGTAGACAGTGCAGAAATGCTCATTCTTCTTGCCTTCTTTGTCGGCGATAAAGACATTGCCATCCTCGACATGAAGCGTCGCTTCGCCTGGTTTTGGTGGCCGATACTGATCGTTGCATGGTGTGAGGACGTACTTGCCATCGCGCTTGAAGTACACCTCGGGGACGTCGGTTTGGTCAGCAAGTGTAACAGTGGCCTCGTCGATGTTCGCCTTTCTGAAGAGTAAGAAGCTAGTCCAAGTCTTGCGCACATGGCGACCTTCCTCGTCCTTGCGCCGGTCATCGAACATGAAGTGCGACAATCGGAGAAATCTTGCGCAGCGCCTTAGCCACCAGGAGTACATGGCATTGACAGCAGTACTCGGCTTAAGGTACCGAAACAGCACCGGTGTCATGAAGGCAAACACCAGCAGGTCGAACGGAAACTCCAGGAAGGGCTCTGTCGATATCAGATGGATCGGGAATATGCCGCTAAAGACCTTGCCGATGCCCCAGATCACACCTCCGAGGCATAGGATCACCAGGGCTCCGTAGACCAGTGCGCTGAATGCAATCTTGCGAAGCTGTGTAGTGACATTGCGTTCCAGCACGTCACGAACTGGGTGGAAAGTTGGGTCGTCTGGGTCGCGGATAAACCACAAAACGCCTTTGCGTAGGATTTTACGGCACATGCCGACGAAAAGCGCAAAGTGGAACATGTAGCAAGTGCCAATGAACCAGTGAACGAAGCAGAATGTGTACGGGGCTTTCATCGCGAATACCCAGCGAGACGCGACAGATGCACTTTGGAACAGTGGCAGGAAGGCGATGTCGAGGAGTAAGCCGCAGTAGAGTGGGAAGACCAGCATCTCGATGCTGATGATCAAGATGACCTTCATCACACCACCAGCCTGTCGAAGGCTGTCGCGGACCATTTTCTCGGTCTTCTGTCCAGTCTGAGATCTGGTAAAGTTCTTGTCAATGGCGACATAGACTGCTGCGATGGCGGCGAGAGCGACGTAGCCCGTCAAGACGGCCCAGGTGCGATCTGTCGTCGACCAGTAGACAAGTGTTGGATCTAGCGGCTTGGACTCGGACGACGGGAATGTCAATGAGCCATAACGCAAACCTCTCAGAGCCGAGACTAAAGGTGACACATTTCGCTGAAGCGTTTCCACACTGGCGGCGGCAAGAGCAGGTACCCGCGTGATTGTGGAGAGCGCATCAATAAGACGCTTCCAAGCCAGAGATGCCGACCCAGCAGATATGGTCTCGACAATGCTCGTGACACTGCCTCTCACGAAAGCAAGTACTGCATCAGCCTCGTGCTTGAGTGTCATAAGGGAAGCATGAGAGTGCGCTGAAGCTCCCAGCAAAGCAGCGTTCCAACCGAAGTCGTCCACGGGCTCATTGCCAGACATGATGAGATTCTGTAGACGATGTCCAGCTGAAGCTGCGGTGGACGAGGCAACGTCAGATATCCATTTGGTGACGCTGTGATCCACTAGATGGGGAATCCATTTCTGCATCATTGCAAGCACCCAGTCAGTGAAGAGGGCGGCAACCACGGTACTCCAACCAAAGACCAGCAGTGCGAGGTCCACTATGATGTCGGTGACGAAAGACAGGATTTGCAGCGGCGTTTTGATGACGAACTCCATGGGAGCACCGAGGAAAGATAACACGATCTTGCCCCCGATATATGGCATGCCGACTGCCCCGTAAACAGTGCCGCAAACCAATATCGCACAGAAGCAGGACGTCTGAAAAAGGCCAATAATGGGCCCTTGGAACCCAATCAACTCGAAAATGCCTTCCAAATCCTCGGCATCTTCGACAGCTTCTGCGTCCAGACCAGCCTGCTGTGCTGCTGCAACAACTTCGGGGTCGTTGCCAATAAGTGCTTCATCATGGGCATGGCCTGCAATTAAAGGCTGGCCATTCTGGATGTGAACGAAGGGTGCCTCTTCGTCCTCATCGTCCTCATCGAGCCATTCCTCTGCCGGCGGCGGAACCGGTTCTGGAGCTTGTGCTTGAATATCACCCCAGAACCAGTCAGCTAGACGTTGCCACCGACTGGGAGGGACATCGACAGGTCCAGCGTTGACAGCGGCTGGGGAGTCCGAATTTTCCAAACCGTTATCGTCAGCTAAGCCTGCTCCACGGACCTGCTCCACGGCCTGGTCGATGGCTTCGTCAGGATATGCGCTAGCCACACCCAATGAAGAAGGACTTTCAGCGTCAGGTCGCTGTAATGTGTCGGCAGTTTCTGCTCTTGAGTTGACAAGAGTGTCGGAGTTGGTAACTTGAGGTTCAAGATCATCATCGTGCTCGTCCTCGTCCTCGTCGTCACCGGCAGAAGGCGTGATTTCTAGCAATCTTCGCCGAAGTTCATGGGTTGTCAAAGTAGGGCGATGTTCGCTTTTGTCCTCCGTCGGCTCAGGAACTATGGCTCGGCCCTTGCCTTTGCCAGTGCGTTTGATATTGATCTTCGCATCAGGGCCGGCATTCGTTATCGGCATCTCGTCATTGTTGTCTTGAAAAATATCCGTGTGATCAATGACCGGCTCCTGCGCTTGTTCTTCGGCAGCGTTTTGCGATTCTTGCTCGTCAGGATGAGGCACAGCGAGCCAGCTTCCGTTCGAGGAAGAAGGTGGGCTTGCCAGACTGGGGCTTGTAGTTGATGGCTCTACCTTGGTGCTTCTCGGTGAAGAAGCAGCGGATGAGTGGCGGCCATGAGCAGCCAGAACACCATCTGCTTCTTCAAGGACTCGCTGGATCTGCGCTGCTCGTGATGAACTGTCTCTGGTAGGCATTGGCGGTCGTCGCGCCGAGCTAGAGCTTTCAGGCGACGGCGATGCAGTACGACTGGCACCTTGCAAAGATCCATCACCCAGAATGGCCTCGGCATCTCCATGCGAAGATGGGTTGAAGTCCTGCGCCTGCGTTGACGAGGCGAACGTTGTCGTTGATGCGGAATTCGGGTCAAGTCGTCCGTGGTAGCGTTTCCTCATCTCTACAACCAAAGCCTCTTCCCAATCCTCGCGCTGCGATATGGGCAACTCTTGTAGCTTTGAAACAATATTTTCTGTCAGCTCGTTGGCATCGACACCACTTTTTTCTGCCGCGAGGATCGACAGCATGACCAATTCAGCTTTACTTTTGAATCGCTCCCGTGCCTCTTCATTGTCTCCAGCATCTCGCAAGTCTTCGGTGGCAGAATCGATCAGGAAGTACAGATTCTCCCAACCAATCCATCGAATTCCTTGCAACGACTGTTCGGCCGATTCTGGCTGAGTACCTTCGTTCTCTTGCAGATGGAGTAACCTTTGACGTGCTTGTTCGAGCCGCTCAGCTTGCCTCTCCTGTATCCGTATTTGCCGCTGAAGCTGGCGCTCCTGTCGCTGTAAGGCTCGTTGCGCGTTGTTGATGTTGTCGAGATTCACGAGTGGCTGCTGTTGGACGACCCACTCCCTAATCAAGAAGACGAGAATGAAGCCGACAATGACGACGCATGTGATAAGCTGGCCCTCAAAAATGTCGAGGATGATTTGGTTGAGGTAGGTGCTGTTAGTGAGTTCGGAGATGTATGTCCACGAGGAGAGAATGGAAGGACTGGCGTGCGCACTGTAGGTGGTAGTGTTATGAGAGTCCTGCTCGTGTGCCATGCCGGTTGCATTCTTGAGCGCAGATAGAGCTTCACCAATCATGCCCATGGCATCTACCGGTTGTGACGTCTTGGTGCCTCCAGTAGTGCCAAGCCCAAAAGAGGAGCCTAGCAATTGCTCGAATGTGGCATAGAGAGAGTCTGGTAGAGACGAAGTGGCATTGTGGATGAGTTGCGACGCTTCATTCTGTGCTTGTTGGCGCAGCATTGCCGCTTGAGTTTTGCTCAAGTAGGCTTCTCTTGCCCAGCCCACATCGGCCATCCAAAACATCCACCTCCAGGCCCATCGCACCAGGTAGGGCAGTAAAAGCAACCAGACAGCACTGACGAGAAGTGCGCGACAAGCGCGGAGGGTCATGACAGCCAGGTGCACACATGCTCGGCGGAGGAAGACGGTCCACGGCAGAGTAGTGGGCATGTTCGCATCGTACAGCTTGGTAAAGCGGAAGGGCGTCTTGCAGAGCTCGCAGTGCTTCTTCTGCGAATGCGACAGCCACTCCATGAGACATTCCTGGTGGACGAACTTGATACTGCCGGAGCATTTGCACGGGTAGAATAGAGGCTCTTCCGGCGTGCCTTCGCTCCTGCATATGCGACATGTCTCGCCGCCATTCTGAGAATCGGCAGCAGTGCCTTTGGAGGAAGCAGTATCTCGCGGCGATGGTGGAGCGATGTCCGGGTCATTCATGATGTCTTTCTCTTGCATGCCATTTTCATTCTCGGCATCACGGAGATTAAAGCGGCTGCCAATGGCAGGGTCGAAGGTCCGCCCGCCAGCTATGTCGTTCATGGTGGATGCCACTGGATGGACAGATTGTCGTGGTTGAGAGGTGCCGAATGGGCGGGCGGTGGTATTCAGGTCATCGGAGCACGGCGAATGCTCAGCTCGCAGGTCGTCGAGGATGTCAGGCGTATGCTATATGGGTGAGGTGATGAAGGTTGGAAGTAGCCCCGGTGTTGGAGAAGCGACACTGGTATGGATTAATATGTGTTCACTGCCACTCGGCCAGACAGTTGATGCCTGAAGCAGAAGCAGAAGCAGACTCTCCAGGGCTACGAAACGCAGCAGGCTTGCGAGTGTCAAGCACCGAACGAGGCAATGCCTTATAGTATTGCGGGCTCTTGTTTCTGCCTCAGACGTTTTTCTTAGAGTCGGTGATAGGGCAGCAGTGAATACTCACAGTCTCCGGGCGGTTTGCTTCGCTTCGCTTCGGAGCGGCGAATGCGATGACGATGACACGCGCGAGACACGATCACGTGACAAAGCTAGTAAATGAAGGGACATTTGATGCTAGCAAATGGGCCATCAATAGCCTAATAATAACGTACGGTAACGATGCAGCGTCGGTGTCTGTAGGAACAAAGGGCAGGAGGGGGCGAGAGAGAGTTCTCTATACTGCCCAACGCCGTCCCTTCATCCAGCGTGGTCGAGTAGAATACTGCTTCTTGCTTGGCCCTGATGAAGGGTTCTGCACGCTTCACGCACCTCTGACTCGCGAACTCACAGCGGAGGAACGCTGGCAGAATTGGCTTTCGGGACCTGAGTCGACGCAGGAACTTCTCCTCACGCAGCGCATGTAGACAGAGCGCGCGAGTCGTGCAAAGGCAATTGGGCTCGCAGAATACCACCCAATACGACGGCCATCGACGTTCATGTGCTGAAGGATGACGACAGGCTGCGCCGAGCGTTGCCCAAGCTTGCTTGCTTTCCAGCTTCCCAGAGCTCGCGTCCACATATCAACTCCCCCTTCCTCACCGTGCAAGCGAGCAGAGGCCACAGTCCATCACCTCGCACCCCATTTTTCCTATTCTTCACTTTGTTGTTCTTGATGCAAGCACTCCCTTCCTTTCGTGTGGAATTTGTCTTGTGATTGTCTGTAGCGTCAGACGCTAGCATAGTTCTAGCTGGAGCTGCACCCATCTCCCACCACGCGCCGCCCTCAACAACATGGCCGTCACCGCCAACGGCAAGCCCAAGGCACCCAAGGCAGAGATGAACGGGCATGCGAATGGCAGCATCCATGCCCACACCGACACGAGAAGCTCACGGAGCAGGCGGAAGGCGAAGTCGACGTGGACAGCATGGGTGATTGATAAGGGCGCAAAGGCTCTGGTGTGGTACACAGTCGGCACAGTCCTGTTGAGCTGTCCCACCAAGCAGGCAGACCTGAACGACACGACGCCGCACATCTGCAAACCATACCTGCAAACGCGAGATTTCCTCACTCCCTACGCCCAGCCGTACTACCACCAATATCTACAGCCGTACGTGCAAAAGACTCAGCCATACGTCGACCAGTTCAACGAGAAGGTATATACGCCCGGTGCAGCAGCGTATCAGAAATATGGCGCCGCGCAGGTCGCCACGGTGCAGAAGATCGGCCAGCAGCAGTGGCAGAAGACCATTAAGCCAAGTCTTGAGCTTGTGCAAAAGCAAGCTGGCGAGCAGTACGAGAGCACTCTGGCCCCACACGTCAAGAAGGCCCAGGATATAGTACAGCCGTACTACGATGGAATTGTAACATCGGCAAGCGACATCTGGCAACTCGAATTGGAACCTGTCTACCGCAAGTCCGCTCCTGTTGCTCAGAAAGTCTACGCTCAAGCCCAAGCTTTTGTGCTGAACACTGCTTTGCCCCAGGCACAGTACGTGGGAAACATCACCTGGACACTCTGGACTCGTCAGGTATGGCCCAAATTGCGCATCCTCTACGGAGAAAACGTTGAGCCCCAGCTCCTCCGCATCACCCAGCGCCTCGGCAGATACAAGGATGGCAAGAAGCTCGAGGCTGACATCAAGAGCTCCGAGAGCAGCTCTAAGCTGGGAGTTGCCTCATCGAGTGCGGAGTCCATTACCTCCTCAATCGTATCGACTGTCGGCGAAGCAACCGCCAGTTCGTCATCCGCTGCCAGCGCCGCCGCCTCGAAAGATCCCAAGCCGACCCCGGAGCCTGCCGTTCAGTTCCAAGAAGATCTCAAGAGCTGGGAGCGCATCTGCGCCAAGGCGGTCGATGAGGGTGCTGAAGACCTCAGAGAACGCATCAAGGACATCACTGCCCACCAGGTCAGCGCTGCAGAAGGTGTCGGTACTGCTCTTGTCACACAACTTCAAGAGACTACTGAACGCGCCTTGAACAACATCAAGGCTCGCATTCGGCAGATCGTCAGAGATCTGCCAAAGGACGCCGACCAGGCACGTTTGGACGCGGCGAATGGGCAGCTCGTCATTTCAGTGCGAGCTGCTGGCTCGACCATCAAGCAGCGTGCTCAAGCTGTTCGCGACTGGCACCAAACCTCGCAAGCCGAGACTGAGAACCTCGTCCAGAAGGCTCTGCAATCTACCTTGGAGACAATAGACAGCATTCGCGAACTTCGCCTGACTGAGATTGGCCGCAAGTATGCTTCGACTTCGCTCCCACATAAGGAGTGGAGCAAGTACAACGACATCAAGAAGTCCACTCAGACGTGGAGAAACGACGTCGAAAAGGCCGCACGAGACCACGCTGGCATTGCCGAGGCTCAAGCTGCCAGCGACAAGATCGAACACAATGCCATGGTAATTGCTGAAGACGCGGCTAAAGAGCTCGGCCGTCTGAAGGAGGTTGGCAAATGGAAGATTGCAGCGGATGATGCCAGCGATGACTTCACAACAAAAACCATACCACCACCAGTGCGGAAAGCTCAAGAGGCAATCATTGAGAAGGTCGCAGAAGCTTCTGAAGCTGTATTCGGCACGGAGCAAGGGAACGTTGAGAGTGCCACTTCGGTCGTCGCGGAGAAGGCCTCTGAAGCAGCATCAAGCCTCTCCGAGAAGGTCATCGGCTCTTCCACCGGGTCTATGGAGAGCGCCGCGAGCAAGGCCTCCAATTCAGCCACGAGCATCGCATCTGAAGCTTCCAAATCTGCATCTGATGCAGCTTCTTCAGCTTCCAGCGTGGTCTATGGCGAGTCCAGCGTGTCTGACACTCTCAAGGAAGCGGCCTCATCGGCCTCGAGCGCCATCATTGGAGAGTCCAGTCTAACCGACACCATCAGAGCCGCCGCCTCGTCAGCATCGAGCGTGGTTGCTGGCGAGTCAAGTCTGGCTGACACCGTTGGGGCAGCTGCGTCATCGGCGTCGAGCGCCGTTGTTGGCGAGTCAAGCTCCACCGTAGCGGGGACCAAACCCAAACTCTCTAGCGTTCTTGAGGCTCAAAAGTCTGCTGCAAGCGACGCGTCGAAGAGCGCGTCGTCCGTCGCCAGTGACGCCTCTTCAGCTGCTGCCTCTGTCTACAGTGGCCTGCCAGATGCTGAGGATGTCGCCGGTGCCGCTGGCGACGCTGCTCAAAAGCCAATCCAAGCGGGAAAGAAGGTCTGGGGAGGTGCAAATGCGGAAGTCATTGTCGAAGCTCGAGACCCAATTCTTGACGATGATGTCGTCGACACGGGCGCTGTCTTCAGTGAGAGCATCCAGCAGATCATCAACGCCGCGGGCGAAAAGGGCAATCAATTGACCGAAGCTATTCAAGAGGCAATCAGCCGCGCCACCGCGACCCCAACCCAGGGCGCTGTTGGCACTGTGACAAGTCTCGCTTCTGAGCAGTACGAGAGCGCTCTTTCTGCAGCGAGCAGTGTCATGTTCGGATCACAGAACGTGTCAGAGCAAGGCCTCACTCGTGCTGCCAAGGAGCAGTATCTATCTGCTGTCACTGCCGCTTCATATGCCATCTACGGAACCCCGGTCACAGCAGCACCATTCGCAGCCGCTAGCTCGGCCTACGAGAGTGCCCTCAGTGCCGCCTCTGAGCAATTTGAGGCTGTGAAATCTCGTGTGTCTGTGCAAATCGCTGGTACGCCCAAGCCAGTCCATCAAGAGATGCTGGCCTCCGCTCAATCAGCTTATTCTGCTGCGCTTTCTGCCGCCAGCGTCACATTCTATTCTGCGCTTGGCACATCTGCACCACTTGCTGCGGCCAATTCGGCCTATGACAGTGCCATCAGCGCAGCTTCCGAGCAGTACGAAGCCGTCAAGTCCCAAGTATCAGTGCAGGTCTCTGGTACTCCCAAGCCCGCCCACGAAAAGCTGCTGTCTTCAGCCCAGTCAGCTTATTCTGATGCGATGTCAGCTGCAAGTGCTCAGTACACCTCTGCTTTCGGAAGCCAAGCACAGAACTATCTTGCACAGATCTCTGCTCTTGCTTCATCTCGTCTTGCTGATGGTGTCGGCGCCGCACAGGAGCAGTACAAGAACGCCAAGATCGCAGTTGGCGCGGAACCAACCCCAGTCCACCAGCAGTATCTGGCCTCTGCTCAATCAGCATATTACCAGGCGCTCGGCATGGCCCATGGACGCTATTCGGAATTTGTCGAGGCAGCGTCGAGCGCAGTCATGCCAACTCCTACGCCTACCGGCTACCAGGCAAGCATTGATTCGGCTTTGAGCGCAGCCAGAAGCGCTTACAGCGCTTACACCAAAGACGCCTACTCGAGATACAGTGTGCTGCAGTCCATGGCCACTTCGGCTGCGTCTGAACGAGGTCTTGCTGGAGGACCAAAGACTGTGGACAAGAACGTGCTCGACAGTCTCGAGGAACAGATTGTGGATTCTGTCGGCGAGGCCAAGAGCAAGCTGTCAGCTGCGAGTGCATCTGTCAGCTCTCTATATCATGACAAGGTGGCTACTGAGACGCAGAAACCACTCACTGACCAAGCAGCTGAGAACTGGAACATCTTGATTGCCAAGGCAAGCGAGCAAGTCTATGGTGCTCCACCGCCTTTCACGGCTCAAGCATACAGCCGTGCCAGCGAAGGCTATGCTCAGGCAACGGAGGTTGCAAACGTGGCTGCTGCTGCCGCTGCCGCCCAGTACGATCAAGTTCAGGCACTTGTCTCTGAATTGGTATACGGCAAAGAGGCAGACTACACCGCCAGTGTCTACAGCAGATTGCAGTCGGCCTATTCGACAGGCATGCCTGCTGTAGCTTCGCAGGCCAGCAGTTACATGAGCGAGAGCTACGAGTCCATCGTCTCTGCGGTCTCTGCTGTGTTCGTCCCACCCACAGAGGTCCCAACTATTCTGGAACAAGTCCAATCACAGCTTAACGCAGCTGTTGATGCAGCAAGCGCTCAATTCTATGGCACTGAGAAGGGTTACTTCGAGGCAAGTGTACCAGTGCGTTACCCTCCAGTTTGATCACTATCCCCATCGAAAAAAATATGATGCTAACAGCCATCACAGCAAGCCACCGAAGCCGCTGCGTCAGTGTACTCCGATGCGTCCTCCGCCGCCTCCGAAGCCATATATGGGAAAGAGACGAATTATTACGAGGCCGCACAAGCGACCGTTGTGGAAATTGGTGCCTCCGCAAGCTCGGCCATCTCACGTGCGCTGTACGGACCTCCACCACCGACTACTGAAGCTGCTGCCTCGGCTGCCGCTTCAGTATACAGCAGCATGTCGTCTGTGGCTGCAGACCGAGCCTCTTCTGCAAGTGCCGCAGTGAGCCGTGCCGTCTACGGCGAAGAGCAGACATATCTTGAAGGCGTGCAAGCTCAGCTACAATCCGCCATGGCAAGCGCCAGCAGCCGTATCTCCGAGTTCGGTGTGGACGCCCGCAAAGCTGCGCAAGAAGCTGCTAAGACTGTCTCATCTGTCGTTTCTGATGCTACTGGCCGCGTTAGGGATGAGTTGTAGATGAGAGGAAGATGATGCGAGGGAATGGGAAGAAGATTTTGCAGAGGAAAGCTAGATTGAAGAAGAAGGAAAGAGGGGAGAGGTTCGCGCCAACAAAGGCAGGGCAGGGCAGGGCATTAGAACGGGACCTGTTCGCGAGGAAGCATATGTGCATGTGTGTATGTGTATACGAACTCTTTTTTTTGTTCTTTGACGGCACGGCAGGCGCAGGCGCGCATGATATCCCACTACGTTTTGTCAGACGATACGATACTGCTACTAGGTATATATCAATCATAGCATAGTTAGGTCTAGGGAAGATGTATTTTTTTTTTGAATGAGTTATGTATGTCTCTTGGAAAGCACCTCGCGTCACCAAATTCGAGGCGCGCATGCCAGAAGTTAGTTACCTGACTTAGTACTTGCAAAATCCTGTAGTTAAGCAGGAAAGAGATCTGCGGATTCGTGCAAGGCTTGGTTGGAATTTTTAACCCTAACCTAAAGACTCGGAACGTCGAGGTTGTTTTAAAGGCAGTCGGTTGCCGAACACTTTTATACATACTATAAATAGAGTGTTTACAGGTATTGGACTAGGACTAGGACTAGGGTAATAAGATCGTAACTAGGATTGGGATTTGTATAAACTATAAAGATGTTTTGCTGAAATTTATTCTTAGCTATATACTACTAGATCTAGACCTGGTAATGAGCTAGGGTTGAGTGTAGTAATGCACCAATCGCTAGTCGAGCTCATCTGTAATCGGATCTCACCATGTCTTGTGCTTGTGTGTTCCCTCTATCCATTTTCCCTGCAGCAGCAAAGTTCAAATTCTTTGTTCTTCTTCGTGGTATCGTATGGATCATCATCATCATCATCATCATCATCACGAACGCAACAATCAAGAGTCTACCAGCCCCAGTAGTTCCAAGTTTTCCAGTTCCTGCTGTAGTTGACGGGCCAAGAGTAGGCATTGTAGTAGCCCCACCAGAGGTAGCCATTGTAGCTCCGATTCCATTGGGCGTAGTAGCAATAAGATCCGCCGGTGTAGCAGTAGTAGTTTGCGGTAAGGCCATTGTAGCTCCAGGAGTATCGGTTCCAGTAGGGGTTGTCCCATGCCCATTGATTAGCATTATTCTGTCGCTTGGCGGTGGCGGTGGCGGTGGCGGCGCCGGTGACCTTGTTGATCAATTCTCGGATTTGTTCGTCAGTTGGCTTTTCGTCGCCCCCGGCACGTGATAAGGCTTCGTGGGCCATGTGGTTGATGGAGGCGGCATCGATCTTGTTGCTGTCGCGTTCCGCAACCTCCACGCTCTTGGGAAGGAATCAGTCTCTGGGCTCGATGTGATGCATCTTGTTTGCTGAAGTCATACCTCGTTTGGAGTTAGCAATGGGCCAGCAATGGCGCTGGCGGCCGAGAAGGCCGCAATGGTGGCGACGATGTTCTTGATCTGCATCTTGAATGTAATGAGTTCTGTGAAAGGCAAGACGTTCTAAGGTCGGAGTCACTCTGCTTTGCTCTGGTGGGTTTGTTGTTGTGTTGATGATGGGATCTTGGTGGAGGAGATGGACTTTCTTATACCCTCGTAGAGCCCATCTCGTATCTTTGGCCTGTGTGCTTTGTTGCTGCTGTGGAGGTTCTGGACGTCACTGATGTCTATCTTCAGCATGGAAGCTTTGTTGGTCCAAGGCCATGCCACTATGGCAAAGTCCGCGAGTGTTCGACTTTGGACCCAACATCGATAGGGTCAAGAATGAAATCTGCACACCGGACGGTCGATCTAATTTGGAAGTGCTTCGCCCCCATATCTAGGATCGCTATATAGGGACCGCTTCCGAATGGGCTTAGAAGGTACAACACTTCGATTCTATGCTTGGGTCCGAAGCTTAATTGTGCTAAGGCTGGGCTCCGACTCAAAGTAGCCTGAGGATATGCTTCGCTCTCGCATAACGCATTCTGACTTTTGCTACCTTCTGAGCCAACACGAGGGAGCACGGGTCCGTGCTGATGATGAAGACGGAAGCTAGAATAGCGGGTTACCAAAGCTTTGGAAAGCGCTACTATTCTTCAGTCTCTTGAGTGATAGAGACCTGATGCAGCACGTACGCGAGGGCCCCATTTGCAAGGCAGTCTTTCTATAGATGTTGCAGGAACCGAGGGAAATTCCGCTCCATATACGGAAACATGCTATCATGTTCTTGCTGAATATGCTTGGGTTGATAGCGGTATAAGGTCGATGTTGGTGTGAGACCTCGAATACTTCGCTCTGTCTTATGCATAAGACAAGCTGTCTTATCCATAAGACAACCTGCGTAGGGGTCGTGACAGAAGTCGCAGAGCGTGCACGGTTGTGCACAGACAAAGCACAGATGGATTCTCATAAGACGGTCGTCTTGTAAAAGATGGCTTGTACGTCTTCCTGCTTGCTTTTCACCCCTGTCAAAATCATTAACCTTTGGCGCTGCTTTTGCCAGATCTCGTAGAGGCCTCTGTCTTATAACTCTTATCCATAAGACGGCTTTTCGCGAGGCATTCAAGGCCTGAATGGCGAGCTCGAATTCGAGCAAACTCCAGCCATGACGTGCTTTCAAGCTCGCTGGAAGTGGTGTCCTAGAGGGATTGACAGACAAGGGCATGCCCAAATTTCGGAACCTCAGTGTCAGATATTGTTGTGAATCGTGCTAAGGATGCAACTAATTATCGGATTGACAACTATATAACTATATAAAGAAGGATCAGGAGCCTGCTATAGAAACTGTAGTTAATATACCTATTGTGTGTCCTTCCTCTTGGCATAGGTCAGCTAATAGTATTAGCTAACTAGCATATTACCTAACTGAACTACAACACTCCCCCTTAGGTAGAGATAATATACTATTCAGATTAGACACTCTAAATCTAGGCTTAGAGCTTCACTTCATCTTCTAACTGCCTTTAGATGTTAGACTATATCTGCTTTATATACAGCTTTATATACTATACTACTTATACGTACTTATATTATATTGTTTGCTAATTGGTTTGCTTTAGAGTAATGTCCTTAGTCGTAATTACAGGGTTAGTAGGCGCCTATAAAAGACACTTAAACTTAACTAGATAACTTGAACTTTTACAATCTACTCTTTAGTAATCCCTAAAGTACTAGCAGCCTCTACTAGATTTCAAATTCTTACTAAGACCTTTTAAGTCTAATAGCTAGCCGAGACTTTAATATAGCGATAATTCTTTACCCTAGCTTAGGGAGTATAGCGAGTAATATAGGTAGTAGTAGCAGCGGCGGCGGTAGTAATAATCTAAATAAGAATCGGCACCCTTCGCGTTATAATAAGCTCTAGCTTATAGAGATTAGTAAGTATTGCTATTGGAGTTTCCCCTTTTCTAACAATTTGCTAACTAGGCGTAGTCCTTAAGGAAGTTTAGTTAACTATCGCGATTCTCTAGAGAATTATCTAGTGCTTAACCAATATTGGTCCGGAGTAGACTCCGCCTTAGCTGCGCAACGTTGATGTTAGGCATTTTATTACGAGCTAGGATAATGCTCGGCTGTTTCTAAGTGTGCCTCCGCGTCTGCGTAAGGCGGCTAAGGCATTTAATTTAGGCTTAAAATCGAATGTCAACTACTTGCCTACCGCGCTTGTATATACGGCTGCTACTAGACGCGTATATACTAGTAACAGCTAGTACGGTCCTTATAAGTAGTTAAAGGGTCCGTACTTAGAGTATATAACTCTAAGTTATCGAATTAACGGTTAGGATATCGCTTTCCTAAAAGGGGCTTATACTAACTGTACTAGCCTAAATTATTATAGTTAATGCGAGTTCTCTAGTAAGTTGAATCTAGTCTTGTACATTTTTTAAGGCAAAAACACTAATTCTTTTGTTAGGTTACGTCTCTCGGCTACGCTCTAATACGAATCGTTAGACGCCTATAGCGCCTCTACCGCCTCGTAATCCGGGGAGTAGAGTAGGCACTAATTAGCGTCGTCTGTACGTGCTAGTCCCGTCTAGTATCGATTAGAGTACTCCTTAGGGCGCCTAGGTAGTAGCAAATTTGCTACTATAGCAGGCAAATGCTTATACCTAGGCTGCTGCTTAGGGACGTAGTCGTAGTCTAGGTTCTAGGTTGTCTACTAGTCCTAGCTCGACTCGTGATTCTAGTAGTCCTTAAAGGGGTTTCTCTAATTACGAAGATAGTAATGCTAAGATAGGTAGCTAATTAGGGAGATTCGGTTTTTTCTAGTAGATAGAGAGCTATAATGTATATTTTCGATTTTGAAATAGGCTAGGCAGTCTGGATTAGTAAAAGCCTTATAGTATTAGAGAGTTTCTAACTCTCAAGGGCTAGGGTATTTCTTCCTACTTAGTCTTAATATTGTTATAAAAGAAATTTTGCAGCTTAGACTGCATAGTGCAGCTAGGCTGTTTCTAGAAATTAGAATGAAATTCAATGAGTATATAAAGCTTGTTTTCTGATCCTATAAATAAGATTTTTCTTTCTAAAGGAGTGACTTAGGAGTTTGTCCTAGAGACGCTATATTATTAGAGAATTTTGTTTGGAGATTTAGGCTTAGTAAAACAGTCCGCTAGCTGTTTGTTAGTAGTAACGAATTCGACACTAATCTTTCCCTAGGTATACTATTCTCTATAGTAGTAGTTCCTAAGGGAAACGTGCCTCGACCTCTTAGAATTTGTATAGTCCTTAATAAGGGAAATGGCTAACTAGTTGTCTACCTAGATATAAATCCTGTTGACTTCTTCCCTAGTAAGTAGTTAAAGCTTAGTCATCAAATTTCGGAGCTAGTAGATTTCTCTGTATGCTTCTATTAGAGTAATATACTCTACTTTAGTACTAGAGAGTACGACTTCCTTTTAGAGCTGTAATCTCTATATAATTGGAGTATTATTAAAAAGTATAAGGGCGCCTAATGTTGATCTTAATAATAAAGGGTTACTAGCAAAGTCTACGTTAGAGTATACCTAAAATTCTAAAGTTTTCTTCTTTCTAAAGATAAGTCCTTTGTTAACTATACTAGCAATGTACCTCTAGAGATGTTTAGCAGCTATAACGTGCTTAGGTCCGGGATTCTGAAGGAACCTAGCAAGGTAGTTGACGGTATAGCTAATATCTAGTCTAGTTTGGTTAGCTAGAAACTGCATTTCACCAATTATGGTATTAAATAGCTAGTAGTCCTAACGGTTATAGGGGGTTGTAAGAGGCTCGTAAAGCTTCTTAAGTAGATGCTTTATTAGCTTATACTAGTCTAAGCTATACTTCTAAAGCTTCTCTTTAGTATAGTGTATCTAAGAGATAGTAAGGTTTCCCTCCTTGTCTTCCTTTAGATAAAGGCCTAGAAATAGGTTAGACGTAACAATCTTGATTGTATACTTCTTACGAAGACCTTCAATTAGAGCATCGATCTTTGCTTTAGAGGTTCTAAAGATTTAGAAATTATCTATATAAAGGAGGACAAGAATACTATTACCTTACTATAGGCAATAGTTACTCTTTGTCCTACTTAGGCTAAGTTAACGAAGAGTATCTAAGGCATTATAGTGCTAGAGATTAGCAGCCTACTTAAGGCTATACAATCCTTTTCTAATACGGATAATCTACTTTAGAGGGTGCTTCTTAAATAGGTACGCGCCTTCTAGGGGTCTAATAAAAATCTCTTTATCTAAAGGGGGATTTAAGAAAGCAGTCTCGATATCAACCTGTCTTCGCTTCTAGTTTTTGTTTACTAAAAGCCTAAGGACAAGTCTAGCAGTAGCTGCTCTTAGTGTAGGAGCATAGGTGTTAATATAGTTAAGACCTTGCTTCTATATAAAGCCTCTAGCTGTCTATCTTGCCTTATATTTATTAATAGAGCCGTCTAGCAGGTATTTGATCTTGAAAACCCATTTTCCTATTAGAGGTGTTCTGCCTTTTAGTAGGGATTCGGCTAGAATCCACTCGATTATACTAGACTTTTTAAGAGACCTTATCTCTTTTGTAACGGCTTTTCTCTATTCATCCTAGTTAGGCCTTTTTAGGGCTTTAGCTAGGGTTATTAGGTTAGCTAGCTTCTAAGCATCTTTTATAGTAGCAGCTACAGCAATCTTAGTAATCTTGCTATAGTTATACTTAGCTACGGCTCTGCTAGACCTAAGTCGTACTTCGGCTTAAGGAGGGTTTGGCTAAGGTGGGTTAGGAGCCCTCTTTCTCTTGCTAATAGTCTTAGGGACTTAGAAGGGAGTGATTGGGGTGTCTTCTAGTTTAGTAGTATCTGTTTCTTAAGTGTACTGATTTTTCTTAGGAGCAGCTTCCTACTAGGTAGCTAGTAGTTCTAGTTGGTAATTTTAGAGTATTAGCTTATTAGCTGTAGGTGTTAGCTGAGGTAGTGTTCCTTACTTAAGTATACCTTGCTCCCCCTAAGCTATAAGGGAGTCTTCCTAATCTTCCTGATTATAAGCCTGCTAAGGCTAAGGGATACTACCTCCAAATAGCTCCCCCTAAGGTTCTAAAGAGTGCTAAAGTGTTTAGTTATTACTAGGGAATAGTGCTAGGATTCCTAACTTAAATGAAAGGTTAGACTAGGTTTCAAGTACCTAAATAGTCTCCTAAGGGATAGCTAGTCTTAAATACTCCCCCTAAGCTTAAAGGGTACTTAGAAGCTTAGTAAAATTGTCTTTATAGATAAAGTCCTCGTTAAAGGTAACGTATAGAGAGAATCTAATATTATACTGCTATACGCTATCCTTCTAGTACGGGTTCCAAAGTAGATAGTTTGTTGATAAATTTTCTTAGAATCTAATAAACTAGTAAACGAAAGCTCTTAGTACAAATTTCTAAGAGTTAAGTCGTTCAACCCCGGATTCGAGGTATTTGAATGCCTTATAGCTAAACCGTCTCGTCTTAGACAGGTCAATGTCTATACTGCCGATATTCAAGTCTAATTCGAAAGCCTTAAGTAGAACTTCCTTAGTTCTCAAGTTTACTAGTCTGTTAGTTAGGTAAATCGAATATATTACTGCAAAGTACTAGCAGTATATTAGTAGGCTAGAGTCAATTATCATTGCTCTTGCCTTAAGCAGAATCGTCTTGTTTAACGACTCTACAATGCTATTCTACTCCGGTATATATAGTATAGATATATCCTATCTAATGCTAACTTCCTCTACAAAATGTACTAGATCGTTGTTAGTAAACTCTCCCCCGCTATTACTAAAGATAATCTTAGGGATTTTGTTATATTACCTCTTAATTCTAGCTATCTAGTTAGTTAGCTTGTTACTACTTGTTACCTTGTCTTTGTTTCGAAGTAATAGACCCTACCTAAGCCTAATTTTAGTATCAGTTAGGGTTATAATGTACCTATTTCTAAACAGATTAAATGGTTGTACGCTAACAAGGTCGATATAGACTTCGTTAAGGGCTTTTTCTAGTTTAGTTCTATATTCTCTTAATACAACTCTTTAAGCTCTTAAGAGCTTGTAGGTCTTATAGTACTCGAGTTTAGATATATCAACTTCTTTTAGGCCTGGAATAGCTTCCTTAGTAGCTGTTAGGATCTTGTTGCCGACGTAGCTAAGTCTCTAATGCTATCTTAATGTGTCCGCTCGTAGTCTAGCGATAGCTAGGGCTAATAGCTACCCTTTCTAACTCGATTCTAAGTTTAGTTTTGAAGCTGAGCCTAGCATTTTAACTTTAGCGTCTTTAAGGGTAAGTACTCCTTATACTTCCTTAACTTTTCTAATTAGCTTGCCTTTAAGCATTAAAGTGCCTAAAGGTCTGTCTAAGTAAATGCTACATTTCTTTTAAAGGCGCTCTACTAAGATTAGGTTGCAATCTAAGTTCGGGGAGTAGAGGACGTCTATTAGAGTAATTGGGGTTTTCTTTCCTTTATAGGTTAGGAAGATGTTAACAGTTCCTAATCGTAATACACTTAATTTTCCTACTACTTAGGAGAACTGAACAGGCTTAGTTAGGTACTTAAGATCGCTAAACTAGCTCTTGTTCCCTATAATGTATAGTAATGTACCTATATCCTAAACTTTTATATTAGCTGTTAGGTTCTTAGAGCTTGCTATAGCTAGTCCCGGCTTTGCAATAGCTCCCCTAATTAGGCCCCTACTAAGGCCGTCTAGCTAATAGTCTCCCTTATCTTCCGAGTTAGAGGAGGAGTCTGATTTATCTTTATCATTATTAATAGCACTACTAGATTTGCCCTTTCCTTTACCTTTACCCTTCTTACCTTTGTCTTTGTCTTTACTCTTGTCTTTCTTTCCCTAACTAGGTAGTACTATATTAGGGTATTGCTTATAGCACTTAGCGTTAGTGTGTTTGTGCTTGCACTAAGTATACTAGTCGTTATTATTGCTAATAGCCCCTCCAACAAGCTTTAAGCCGCTAGATAACTATCTAGGAGGCTTTTCTCTCCTTAGGGACGTCATTATTGCTTTAAGGGAGGAGTCCTTAGCTTTAGGCTTGTTATTGTACTTCTAGGATCTAAGCTATTCGTAACTAGAAAGGCCCTAAATAAACAGTATCCTAATAAGTATATTAGGCATCTTAATGTCTAATAACTTTATAGGCGCTTCTATTGTTATAACTGAGCTAGCAAATTGTTCTATCGATGTTTGGAATCTGTTAAACTACTACTAAAAAGATTCGTAGTACTGCTAGGTATTCGGATTAGTAAGGGGCATCCTAATGTGCCTAATAAGTTTGATAGTATTAAATATGTCTACGGTTACAATAGGCTTATATAGAGCCTTAATGTAGTCGTATATATCCTTAGCTAACTTAGATATATCACCGAAGTCTAGTCTAAGGGTAGGGTCGAGTCTAGCAATAAGTATGCTTAGGGCTTAGATATCTTTCTTCTTCTAGTCCCTAAACATATCTCTATACTGCTAATCGGCTAAGTCCCCTATAAACATGCTTTTTAGAGGTGGTTTTATTTCATTAGCCTAGTTAAGTCTATAGAATACTATACTAACTAGGTCCTTTTCTAGAAGGGCCGCCTAGAATATAAGCTTCTAGTCTTAGAAGTTGATCCCCTTCCTAAGAACTTGATTCTCCTTTGCTGTCTTTATCTAATTAGTATCTATCGTTCCTAGCTGCCTTTTAGTATAGTGCTAGGCAGGGCTTATAAGGGACACTTGCTAGGTTTTAGTCCGAACTAGAGCTCTTAACTAGGTACCTAATAGGTCTAGATAGCTAGCTCTATTTAGTAGACTCTAGAAACAGTTCTTTTATAGTTAAACTAGACAGGTGAGCGTATGCGCCGGGCTTATAACCTATTATGAATCGTACTAAGGATGCAACTAATTATCGGATTAATAACTATATAACTATACAAAGAAGGATTAGGAGCCTGCTATAGAAACTGCAGTTAATATACCTATTGTGTGTCCTTCCTCTTAGCATAGGTCAGCTAATAGTATTAGCTGACCAGCATATTACCTAACTGAACCACAACAGATATAGCACGGCGCGCACCGCCGTGAAAACGTAGGAATAGGCATCGTACGGCTCGGACAATTATCCGCTGCAGGGTATTCCATTCCCTAGCTCGGTCTTATCCGCCGAATGGTTTCTTGTACGGCCGGTCTATTCCTAAAGGAAGGATTCAATATTAGGTTTGAATTAATTCTTGCAGTAGCCGCCGGCTTCTATCAAATGTAGTGGTTGAAACGGCCCCTCGGTTAGCCGAAGGACCTTCTCTCCTTCATTTACCTACTACTGCAACGATGCAACCTACCTGTCCTCCCGTAGGCGTGTAAGGAGTGCTATATATAGTACACGTATTCACGTTGCTACTAGGAGCCCTGCGTGTGTTATATGCGTGCAGTAACACGACAACGACGAGGCTATAGGGCTTCGACACCGGCTAGGCTACGCTTAGAGTTAGAGATTTCTGCTAGCCGCTAACTCTAGGGGCTGCATATGTTACATGCGTGCAGCGGTATTTGCGTGCCTATTGTTAGTCTATTCCGATCCTATTACACTATTTCGACAATCCTATAGCGCTTGTATCTACGAGACTAGAGTGCTAGTCCTCTTCTTTTAGAGAGGGCCTTTAAATAGGCATACCTTATCGATAGGAGCAATGTAACGGCTATTCTGCCGATGTTATAATTGTCGGATTTGCAGCTAATAGGCAAGTTGCTACGAGGGATCCGGTATCTGTAGGCCGATCGTTAGCTAGTTAGCTTCTTTCTACCTAATGCTACGCATCGCCTTAATTAGATAATATAGTATTAGAGAAAAGGAATAACTAGACCTATTGCTTTTATTAAGCAACTTAGAGCTTAGTCTCTTCTTCTCTCTTTGCTATAACCGCGGACCATTTCTTAAACACAGTTACGCAAGTTAGATATCGTTAATTATTGCGGACGATAGTCGCTCGGCGCTATAGCGACCTTATAGATCTCGCACTATGTTATACTTACGGAAACACCTAAGTCCGTAAACATTCTCGGTCGTAGCTAAAGTAGGAATTAATATAAGACTTTTAAAGTTTTGTAATAATAATATCCCGTACTCGCGGCGATAGAATGCTTTCTAGAGTTACTCGCTAAGTCGCGAGTTATAAACCTTTTACTTCTACGCCTATTAGTCTTAGTCGTCTACTATATTTGTTCGTACTAACCGAGGACTAGCAGATTTAGCTCGGATCTTCTAAGCATTCTTAGCAATCCTAGTATTTCCTATCTACAAATTACGAGTAAAGGATTAGGAAGAACTTAGCGTAACGCTAGAGCCTACTTAGCCTAGGCCTCCGAGGGATGCTTCGGCATTATTCTGCAAGTATTAGAAGGAGATATTAAGTGCAAGCCAGGACGCATATAGTATTGCTAAGACGGCATCGGAGTCAACTCGGCGCAGGTATGTGCCGAGTCCGCAGAAAAGAACTAAGCATATGCCAGCGAAAAGTATCGTTCGCCGGATGATCGTTATAGCGGATACTGTTCCACTGGCCAAACAGGCGTTCGTCCTGAGGCTTCTTACCACACACACTATGTGGTTCTTTTTTGTGGTTGCCAACTTTTCTCGGACAGTGCAGCAGCAGGATACCGTATTGCAAGACAGAGGCATCTGCTATTGTCGGGTCCGTGGTCGTTGCATACCAACCGTGCACTTGCCCGGCACTCTGCGGATCGTGCGCTCATCACGAGGTTGGTTGTCCTGTCATGTGTCTGCGAGTCTGCGAAAGATCGACGATGGGGAGCCTGGGCCCTTGTATTCTTCAAGGATTGAGAGCTTTCCAAAGGGGGCAAGTGAAATCTTCTCGGAACCCAGACTCAGGTACAAGATATGTATAAGGTACAGCCGTGAAAGCGGGTGCAACACTAGGGACTGCGATACCACTCAGTGGTAAACGGCTCAGGCTTAGAGCTTTGATCGTCTGTTCGCATGGTCCATACCAAACACCGATAACAGCTTTGTTCCTAAGCATTGTTCCGCGTTCGATATTCGCAAATGTGTCCTTCTCTGCCTCGGCATTTACTTCATCGCTCACCTCACGAGACCTGTCCGAGGACTAATAATAAGTGCCGAGCAGCGATGGTTTGACGTCCAGCTAAGGTTCTTCCCGCACTTTGTTCTATATCTGGAGCGCGCAATTTCCTTTATGCAGCCCTTTCCCTGCATTTGAGTCGATCCGGTAAGACCGGATTGCCACACGTCCTGGCAAAGTAGTCTGCTTTCCATTTTAGTTCTAGCGAACTCTGCTTTCCTTAGCAAGCTCTCCAAGGCAAGGGCTCACGGTTTCCTAATCGGGCTGCCCACGTGTGGAAAATAGGCATTCTCGGCGTGCAGGCCGGACTCTCGAGCGACGGATAAGGCGGTGACTGGCCCCGCCGTGACTCTCCAATGCTTCCGCCCACTCCATTATTGTCATATCATTGCTCAGCCGGTCTCTGTGCCAGTCGCAGACCATATCCAGTCTCGCAATCCTTCAATCGCGACCAAGTCTCACTCGGCTCCGCTGCCCAGCATCGGACTCGGCTCGTCCGGACAAGCTGACGAAGTCCGGAGCAATCCATTCAACATCCGGCCCCAAAGAATCCCCGCCACGGAGCACGTGGGGATCGAATGCAGCAGCAGTCTCCATGCCTGCACCACTTTCGACACTGATTGAGCCTCTCCCTCAGCAGCGCATTCCGGCCTCCAAGGCATCCAATCTCGGTATCGATTCGAGCCTGAGCCGGGACAAGAGCGAAAGCGCGCATCGCCGAACTCGCAGCCATCACCGGAGAACGCACGCTGTGCAGCTGTCCTGGTCCGACGTCGAGCATCTCGAATTGCGACCAAGGAAGAGAGCTCATCGACAGTTTCTTGGCCAGGCCGCCCTGCCGCCTTTCCAGTTCCCGAACCTCTACACAGATTCACGCGACAGCTCGCCATCTGGCAGTGCTCATTCCAGATCATATAGCGATTGCTCCACGGCCAGCTTCGACAGCATCTCCAGCGTTGACAGTGTGGAAACCACCATCACTGCACCGGACTGTGAACCTATCCAAGAATATCGCATCAAGAACGAGGGTGACGACAAGCCTGCTTCCTTCCTCGCAGAGTCTCCGAGCGACTTTTATCCGACGCATCTGAGGAAGATCTCTGTCGAACAGGTCGACTTGATCGAAGACCTTGCCTACCAGATCGAGCTTTTCAAGATAGACGAAAGCTCGGACACCAGGCCTATCATCGTCGTCTCATAGCAGGTCAACTGCCGACTATCGACTCAGTACCGATGTTCTCTTGGTTCAGGCGGCGCCGTTCAGCCAACACGCAAGATAGACGGCCTGCATGTCCCTGTTTGAATGACCTACCGAACAACACCAGAGGTCATAGTAGGAACCTGAGCGCACACACTACGGCCAGTGACTTCAGTACGTGGTCTGCAAGCACTGCTGCGTCGGAAATCTCGCGGGGTACCGTAGAAACAACCATAAGCGCCGGATACGTGTGTCAGTCGCGACGAGCGGCATCTCGGCGTAGCAAGTACAGCAAATCCAGCTCCAGGGCTTCATCACCAGAAGCTCAAGACAGACCTGAACTGCTTTTGAGATCGCATAGCAATCCTAGTGTCAGGGCATTTCGAGTCGTCACTCGCACACCGTTGCGCCAGAAGAGAAGTAGTGTCTGGTTTGGTATTTTGCCTGGTTCATCCTCGCCTTCAGACTCCTAGTTCGACATCGTCGGCATTCAAGGGAGGAGACCCACTTTGTCCGATCCAAGGTTCGCGTGGACGCCGACAACCTGGATTCCTCACGGGCGGCTTCAGGTGGCCATCCGGCCGTCACGCTAAATCACGGCTGTCGGCTTCCAGCACTTTCACCTTCAATATTACATCTTCCACTCCCTCCACCTCCCATACCGACTTCGTCTCGTGGTGTCTCATCGCCGCACCGATACGGCACAGCCTGCTGTTCTTGGCATAAATCCGTTGAACCAAGGGCCAACCGCCACAATGTGCTGTCACTCCCGAGTCATCTATGCGACCTGCGGTCACAGCACGTTCTCGAAGTCGGCCATATTGCGGTGCAGCCAGGCTCAGCTGGAGATGGACGAGTGCAACACGCCAGACACGATTCCAACAGCTCGATCTCGTCCACGGACTCCAACTGCACCTCAGAGCCCGAAGCCACCATGCGAGATCTTTGCCCATCCATATCGGACATTGCGAGTGGAGTGTCTGTGTCCCTTCTGCGAACATCGGCGAGAATCGTTGCTGTGTGACATGGCGGAATTCCAGATGGCTCGATGGGATGACTGTATGTGGAAAGTCGACGATGGGATGAGGGACGAACTTGCCAGGGAAGCAAGAGAGTCTTCATTTCAACAAGAAATAAATGCTTTGCTAACGCAATTGAAGGAGGCGCACGAGAGGCTGGCCGTGCTGGAGGAGTCTTGTAAAGATAAGCCTAGGGCAGAGGGAGAAGGGGAATCAAGGGCAGTGGCGGCGGCGGATGGTCTTCTGAAGCCGCGGCCCTCACCTGCTACCTCCTCTCATAGGAAGTCGGATTCCATTGAGAGGAAGGACAGTTGCATGAGTTTAACGGAGTCGAAGGCGTTGGGATGGGAATAACGATTGATGAATTCACGACTTGAAGATGGATACCGATTCGGACGACTCTCGTTGTAATGTCTGCTGGCGTTCGAGGTTGGGATAACGGTATTGTAATAGCGGCCTTGAGCAAGCTTGTGCAGTAGAGCAGGTCTCGCGTACACACGTGTGATGGGAATCTTGTAGACTATTAGCTCGTCTCGTATCTCATACAATATCTCATGACTTTTCCCACATGTCTATACCTCGCGCGTCTAAGATGAAGATCGTTGTGCCGATGTTCATATGAATGCTGGTAAGTGAACAGTCGACAGCAAGGGAAGAAGATTTGGTGAAGTTGCGTCGCGCGAAAAACAGTGCACGGACCGAGAACGAACCTACGTCACCACATCCCGCAACTCTGCGTTTAACATCATCAACTCGCCACGAGTACATGAGACCACGCGTCCGATCGCTACAGATCCTGCGGCATCTGAAAATGTCTGCACCAGCTCCCAAAATCCGGCGCATTGGCGCCCTCGATCCCTCAGAAGCGAAATGGACGGAGCTCCGCAAAATCGAATGGACAGACCAAGACGGCAAGGATCGAGTCTGGGAGGCGGCCGCAAGAAAGACGAGAGGCAAAGGCGGCGTCGACGCAGTAGCAATTGCACCAATCCTTCGCCATCCGTCACGACCACCACAGACAATGGTTATTCTCCAGTACCGACCACCAGTCGAGGCATTCTGTGTCGAATTCCCTGCAGGCCTGATTGACGAGGGCGAGACGCCTGAACAGGCTGCTGTTCGCGAGCTGAAAGAGGAGACGGGTTATGAGGGCAAGGTCTGTGATCTCAGTCCTGTGCTTCCAAACCAGCCGGCTTTGACGAATGCTAATATCCAGGTAGGTGCTTGATTGTAGTCCGACGATTGTCTCCGATCCGGGATTGACCAATGCGAACATGCAGGTATGCGGAGACAAGACGCTATGAGCGTGTATGAGAGCTGAAGCTGACTGTACCAGATTGCTACCATCGAGGTCCAGCTGAAGGAGGGCGACAAGGAGCCGGAGCAGCATTTGGACGAGGGCGAGCACATCGAGCGCATCATTGTGCCTCTTGACGAGCTGTACGACAAGTTGCAAGGTATGTTGCGAATGCCATATATGGCTAAATTGAAGTTGCCAACCATTGCAGCGATGTCCAAGGATCAAGGCAAAATCGTGGATGCCAGGTGAGTTTTGCAGCTTCGTTTCTGGATAAGTTGCTTTCGCTGACTTATGCAAAGGCTCTTCCATTGGGCTGCAGGACTGCATTGGGCCCGTCGACTTGGTGTCAAGGGCTGACATTACCTATGCTAGAATGGGCAGCACTCGGTTACATCACCGATCAGTACGTCGCATTCTGGGCGGGTGGATTCCACTATGGTCGTATGTTCTTGCAGAAATAGAATTGCATTCTGGAAATGCCGCGATGCCGTATATGAAAGACATGGCCGCGTTACGAAGATCAGGACATTGCTCGAAGCCCTCTTTAGGCCAAACGAGCCTCCATTGAGTCCTCTGCCTTCCTGTTAAATCTTCGTAACAATACTTCAGAACCTTTCACACTTCTCGCTGACTACAGTAGGAGAATCAATGAACTATGAAGGTAACACCAAATTTTCAAGGAACGTTATAGATTGATGAGAAACGGATGGAAGCAGCAGATTCCGCGATGAAAGCGCTTGTTCATCTTTTGGCCAAAGAAATGGACTACGTTGTCGCAGCAATCTCCAGTCGACAGACTATATATGATTTCACATCGACTCTGGCAACGAAGTCATAAAATTACAGGATGCTCAGAGTCCAGAAATTCCACTGAACGCGGTCGCACGGAATATTGGGCAGGAATGGAGAGATGCTGCAAAGATGGGAGATGGTTGCCACAATAGTTTCAGATCTCCTTCAGACAGGAGCTGATGTTGACTCCGTGGATAGACAAGGTTGCACACCTCTGATGCTCGGCGAGACCATCGACCATGACAAAGTTTGCAGCCTTCTCCCACACCGAGGCGCCAAAGCATCTCGCTGTTAGACACAGACGGCACTCAGTTCTAGAGTCACAAGTTGAAATGGACTACATCGACCTCAACCCGGTCGAGGATTGGTTGGAATCAGGCGACGCCGCGTCTAAGATGTGCCATGAAACTCCTGATTGCCACTTTACAGGTGTTGTCCGACAATCCTTTCTCTGGGCTAGCTGCCACGGTCAGGCTTTCTTCAGTGCTGCAGGGAACGCTGGGCGCGAGGAGGCTTCTGTGGCGGCTTCGATGTAGATAGGCATTGATGCAGTATGAATGCTCAACAATGGTATTAGCATGCGCTGGAAAATCTTTAAAAGTAGCACGGTGATCGACGAGACTGACGATGCGAAACCACGAATATGGATGCTTCAGCGCAGCTCAGGTACGGCACTTTGCATTTCCTCTAGATTCCTGTTTTGTAAGACTCGTCAAGCATAGACCGGTCTGAAGAAGGAGGAACGTTGTGTGACAAGGGTGCAATCCCATGGCAACGGTAGCGTGCGGCTAGTGCCGGTGCCGGAGACCCCTGTTGACATGTGATGCTTGAGATGAACCAAATGTCCAACTCACCAAGAAAAGAAACCTGCATAACGTATATTACTGTCCGCCAACCAGGCCCCAAGAACTGCTGCACGAACTTGCGCCCTTTGAACGGCTTGACACGATCTATACAATCTAGCTTATCGGCCCTACACGACGTCATACCGGCTTGCACAAGAAGTGAAACACAGCTGCCAAACTGGTCAAGTGTTGCAACAGTGAAGCCGACTTCTCCTGATCGCAAGTCGCAAAGAAGCATCTGTGTATACTGCTGCCGCCACCAAGGGAGTGGATGGCGGCTGAGCGAGTGCTGACAATATGAGCTCGCTGTTGACCTCGAAACAAGCCGAAGAACTGTACGCGACAAGTGCCTGCTCGTGTTGTTGCATTCGCTGATGGAGCGCTGACAGCCACAAGGGCATCGTCGCCTATCTAATATCGACCGGCCATGCAGATGCCGCGCAGGGCGTACGCGATGCAGTACGTTTATCAGAAACCGAATTCGATGCCAGCACTGCGAAGCGATACGAGGGGCTCATCGAGAAGAAATGGACGGGCTTGGTGCGGCTGCAGAAAAAGATCATGGACCTGGAAACCAAATGCCAGCAGCTACAGCATGAGTTAGACAACGCGACACCATCCAGCCTTGCGGCGCGAAAGAACCACGATCCTCAGACGTGGCTCCCACGAGCGCCGGCGCGTCACACATTACAGAGCCACCGCAGCCCAATTACATGCGTCGCATTCCACCCACTATTCTCCAGCTTGGCGTCAGGCAGCGAAGATTGCACGATAAAGATATGGGATTATGAACTGGGCGAGCTGGAGCGGACGTTGAAGAGCCATACCAAAGCCGTCCTGGACGTCGACTTTGGTGGGCCCAGAGGTAATACTCTCCTCGCCAGCTGCAGTAGCGACCTGACCATAAAGTTGTGGGATCCCGCAGAAGAATATAAGAATATACGGACTCTGCCAGGTCACGACCACAGTGTGAGCTCGGTGCGGTTCATACCATCAGGAGCAGCAGGTGCACCACTCTCTGGCAACCTCCTGGCAAGTGCAAGCAGAGACAAGACAATACGAATATGGGATGTGACGACGGGGTACTGTTTAAGAACCCTGCGAGGACACGGTGACTGGGTGAGATCGCTTGCGCCGACCATCGACGGACGCTGGCTGCTCTCCACTTCCTCCGACCAGACGGCACGGATGTGGGATTTGTCGCAACCTGACTCGAATGCGCAAAAGCAGACTTTCATCGCGCATGAACACGTCGTCGAATGCTGCGCCTTTGCTCCTCCTGCAGCATATCAGCATTTAGCGACATTGGCTGGGTTGAAGAAAGCGCCACCAGCCAGCAGTAGTGCTGAGTTCCTCGCGACTGGCGGCAGAGACAAGCTTGTCAAGGTACATACAGCCAATGGTGTATGCATCAAGACACTTACCGGACACGACAACTGGATACGAAGCTTGGTGTTTCATCCTGGTGGAAAGTATTTGCTATCCTGCAGTGACGACAAAACCATAAGATGCTGGGACTTGGCGCAAGAAGGCAAATGTGTGCGTGTGGTAGAGGCTGCAGATCATTTCGTCTCCTGCCTACGCTGGGCCCCAAGCTTATTCAAGGAGGCTGCGGAAACGAATGGATCTGCGACAGCTTTGACGAACGGAAGCAAAGATGAGGCAAAGGAGCAAATACGGTGCCTCATTGCATGCGGGAGCGTTGACTTGAATGTGCGCGTCTTTAGCGCATGAGTAGGTGCTTTCTAAAGAGATGGATCATCGACAGGAGTTGCCTAGTCCCCTCGGAAAGAAATAATTGAAAAGACGAGTACGGCGCAAGAGTGGTCTGGCAGAGCGCAGAGGAATTCTCAAAACATCATGTTGATTACCCCATTCGCATGTTGCGAGAGCAAGAACATTTCTGTCTCACGTTCGATACGAGACCTTCACGCTGCACACTCAAGGGATGTGAGAGGGAGAGGGCTCGACTGCGCGCGGATTCCAACCAACCCAACGTCTATTCAAAGAGACCGTTGTTACGAACGGTTGTGCGTTTCTGGCCAGGCCAAGCGCTCTCTGCGCACGTGAGCTGCGAGTCACCGTATCGACCTACCAATCCTAGCTCACGCAAATCCAATGAGTCGGTCTTACCTTATCAAGTGGCCTATCTGTACCTTGCTTGAAGCTCAACGTCACTTTACACTTCCGCGACTGGCCATCGTATAGACCCAAGAACTAGAACTAACTCAGCCATCAACACTTCCGTTCCCCTAATGTTGAGAATAGGCTGTACCTGAGTCCTAATTGCAAGATCAGGCGAAGCGGGGCACTCGAGCGACTGCCAATCGCTACCCTACATTCCTGATTGCAGGAGGCGACAGGACGGTCATCGAGCAGATATTGCTAATGGCATAAAAGCAAACCCAATTCCATGTGCGACCTGACGACTGATCATGACTCTTCCGACAATACCCTCAGCCGCCGGAGTTGCGCTCCTTGCGCTTGCCATTTACAAGTACATCATCTATCCGGCCTTCCTATCACCTCTAGCCAAGATCCCCAATGCACACTGGAGCGCATCAATTTCACCTCTCTGGATCTTATATCATCGGCATCAGCAGCAAGACACATTTGTTGTCCATGCTTGTCACAGCCGTCTGGGACCAATTATGCGACTTGCTCCCAATGAACTTTCAGTCAACTGCGTCGATGGCGGAATCAGGACAATCTATGCTGGTGGCTTCGAAAAGGGCGATTGGTACAGCAATGTTTTCTCCAACTACGGTGTTGAGCCAATGTTCGCGATGGAAGCGCACGGTCCGCACAGCAAGCGCAAACGCATGCTGAGCAATGTCTATGCGAAGAGCTCGCTGCAGAATTCTGCCGCATTGACGAAGATTACCGATGTTGTGATCAAGGAAAGACTGATACCGAGACTTCAGAAAGCGGCCAAGTCTGGTGAGGCAGTGGAGCTGTACGATGTCTTCTCGGCCGTGACGATGGATTTTGTTACAGGCTACATTTTTGGCCTTCGAAACGGCAGCAACTTCGTACAAGACTATGCCGCTGGCGTCCGGCTCTTCCGCGAATTCAGTGCCAGGCAAAAGTACACGTTCTGGCCACAAGAGCTGCCAATGTCACATCATGGCTCAAAAGACTAGGTTTGAAATGGCTCGTCGTTCCAACATGGGTCGACTCGGCGAACTTTGACATAGAGAGCTGGGTCATGAGCATGTGCGAGCAAGCCGAGAAGACATGCAAACGAATCGAACAAGGCGAAGACGTGGCCCCAGAAGACACACCTACCGTCTACACTCAACTCCGAAACACCCTCCTCAAAGACGACCACAACCCACCCGCATCCGATCACCGCCTCACCCTCGCCTCCGAACTCCTCGACCACACCCTCGCCGGCTTCGACACAAGCGGCATAACCCTAACCTGGCTCGCCTGGCAACTCTCCAAACCCGTCCACAAAACCTGGCAACACCGTATCCGCCACGAAATCTCCACCACACCCCTCTCCTCGCCCTCCCACCACCCCCTCGACGCAAAAACCATCGACAACCTCCCCACCCTCCACGCAATCCTCATGGAATCCCTCCGTCTCCACCCCGCAATCCCCGGCAACCAACCCCGTCTCACACCCCCCAACACCACCCTCGCACACATCCGAAACCTCCCCGCCAACATCCGCGTCCAAGCACAAGCCTACACCCTCCACCGCGAACCTTCCATTTTCCCTTCCCCGGAAATCTGGGATCCCAATCGCTGGCTTCTTCTCCTTTCTCCCACCACAGAAAAAAATTTGCACCGCTGGTTCTGGGCCTTCGGATCCGGAGGCAGAATGTGTGTGGGGAAGAATCTGGCCATTCTGGATCTGAAAGCCGCGATGGTGGGGGTTTGGGGGAAATTTGAGACGGAGATTGTGGAGGATCGAGGCATGGTGGCGAATGGGGGGTATATGGGTGAGCCGTTGGGGGTGGGGGTTGATGGGGATGGAGAGAGGAGGAGGAGAAAGTTTTTGGTGGTGAGGGTTAGGGAGGTGGATGTGTGAAGAGGGGGGGGGATTATTAGTTGAGTTGGGGTGGGGTGGTTTTGGGGAGAGGAAGCGTTGTGAGGTGGACACATAGATAGAGCGGGACATGGATATGTGAGAAGCATAGGTAGTGTTCTATGTCTAATTCATTCATTTGCCTTTGTGGGTATCATCATCATCAAATATCTGGCTGCTTACTGTCCTATCCATCATCCAGCAGCAGCAGCATAACAATCCCTCTTCCTGTCGATTGATTGATTGATTCATGCAAAAGAAGTCCTCACCCCAACACCACCACCCCCAGCAACAAAACCGGCCAAACAACCACCCCCCACCCCTCTAATTTCCCCCTCCCCTCCTCCGTCGCGGTGAACCTCGAAATCCTACCTCCAAAGTTAGCCCCAGAATTCCCCGAAGAAGTTCCAGTCGCAGCACTCGTAGCAGTAGGGATCAAAGGAAGAAACGTACTCGTGGCCTCAAAATCCGGAATCCTGACCCCCGGTCCAGTTTTCGGAACACGTCCCTCCACCACTCCGGGCTCCAGCAACAACAAGCTCTGAACAGTCTCCAAAGCAGAAAGTTCCTGGCCGACTCCAAAGGCACCGTCGTCACCACCGACATACCATTTCTGGCCGCAGGTTTGCTTGTTGGGGCCGCCAGTGCAGGATTTTGTTGCGGCGAGGGAAGAGGCTTGCAGGCGTTTGCGGACGTGGTCGGTGATGGAGGGGTAGAGGACGGCGGATTTGGCCATCCAGCGGGAGAGGTAGGCTTTGAAGGAGAATTGGTCGTTGTTGCATGTGTTGAAGGGTTCGCAGGCGGGTTCGAACATGCTGGGAGGAGTTAGGAGGAGTGGGAGGGTGGGTTGGTGAGCTATGACTTACATGTCTGTTGCGTTTGGGAAGGGTGAGAAGAAGCTGTTCTCGATCGTGGTGAGGAGGCCTTCAGTCCTCGTGCGCCACACTTGGGTGTTGGTGTAGTTTGCCATCACGGAAGTGGCGTAAAGGAGCATTGCCGGGTTGTAGGTCCACTGAGTGTGGTCAATCTCGGTGCAATTAATCGTGTCGTCGGCGCCGTCAAAGACTTGATAGTTTGGTGAAATGAGGCCGATCCGTGACATCCATTCCCATGTCTGATCTGCCCATTGCACATACTTCTGGTCGCCGGTGTATCGCGCAAGGCGAGCAGAAATCTGCAAGAAGGCGCCATTGCTGATGCTGTTGCGATAGTTGTAGCCCTTATTGCTCTCAAAGATCTGCCATTTCAGGCCACCACCGCAGGCTTGCGTATTCCAACGCGACATTTGTCTCGACCACACTGCTTCTGCCAGGGCGAGCCAGCTTTTGACCCTCTGCCCACTTGGAAACGGAAGTCCATACTCTTCTGCGGATAGGACAGCAAGTGCCCAGAATGCTTGATCGTCGTTGCCGAGAGAGGTGTAGTATGCGGGCGGCTCGTAGTTCCAGTCTGGTCCGACTTGAGCAAGCAGAGCCTGGGTGAGCACAGCATTGTAGCTTGTGTCTCCTGTGTAGGCCCAGTAATCGACCATTGCTCCCCAGACCGCTCCAGCTTCCCACCAGTAAAGTGGGGCTGGCAGAGTGCCGACAGCAGTTGCCGGTGTGCCGCTTGCATTGTTGTGGTAGTTGGACTGCAGACCAAAGGCGAGAGTTCGTGCGGCGTTGCGAATCGAGTCTGCGTTGTTGACGTCGAGATTGACTGCTTGTGTGAAGGTCATGCTCGCTGCCAGAGCGGCAAAAATGAGATTGAAGGATATCATGACGCGGGCGATCGATGCGTCTCGTTCGTGATGCTCGTACCTACTGCTGTGAGGTCAAAAAGATACGGCGTTAGATATGTACAGAATGCAATCCGCGGGGTGGTTCATGCCGGTCGCCACGATTGCGTGGCTCCTTCACTAGAGGATGTCCAAGCAATCGTTTACCTCTGGGCGTGCATGGAAGAGGGTGGTGAAGAAGGAAGATTGAAGAAACGAAGGTGGAAGTCGTGAAGTCGCGCTTCCTTCACGGCGACTATTGTACTTCACTTGGTCTCCTGCGGCCGCGCTAGCTATTGTCGGGATGTTCTTGTTTGAGGTTGCTGCTGTTTGAGGGAGTGAATTTGGTGTCAATCAGGGTTTGCCGCGGCCGTTTGATGCAGTTGATCCTGGCCAATCAATGGTTTTTCACATGGCGTGCAAGCAAGTCTTGACGAAAGAGGCTGAAAAATGTGAGCTCGAGCGTGGCGGCAGTGAGCAGATGGCGGGGTACAGTCCTGTTTCATGTGCTCTCGCAGTGAAGCACACACGGCGGATGACTTCCAACGACTTCATGTGCCTTGCAAGCCCGCGGAGATTGTAGGATCAGCACTCGAAGGGCAGCTTTGAGCTGAGAATGCGCAGGCTCTACCAGAATCTTGGGTGACACCGAGGCAAGCGTTCAAAGATCAGATGCTTCGGCTCTTACACGAGTGCCGTCTCACCATCTTGCGGCGAGTTCCATCTGGATGTGTGCTGTGCTGCAGGGGAACGGGGCTGGCACTCTCCGGCTTACAATCACGTCAGGTGTGCTCACGAAAAGAAGATAGGTGCACATTATATTGATGTCGTCGATGCACGAGTGATGATGGAGTGAAGTCGCGTGTAATGCCCTGACGTTTCACCGCCCTTGAGGCAAGGGGCCGTGCGCTGCCACGCAAATGAATCTTCTTAACCTTCGACCTCATGATCTTTTCGCGAACTTCACGAAGCCTTCTTTCCTATATGCAACCAGAAAAGAAGACGCCGTCAACCCACGAGGGCCTCGCCCAAACCGTGTCCTTCACCTCCGCAGAGACCTGAGTATTCAAACAAGCAGCGCGCCCAGCAAATCCACCACATCCTCGTCTCCATTGCTTGCAACATCCAACCCAGAAGCCTCTCTCAAATACCAGCATACATCCCCTCCACCACAACAAAAACCTCCTTCGCCATCTCCTGCGTCTCCCTATCCTTACAAACAGCGAATCTGTCCGGATGCCACCTCAGTCTCTCCCTCTTCAAATTCAACCCCGGGATCGCTTCCAACGCAGCTCGGACACTGCACTTGCAAGCCGGAACCAAAATGTTGGGATTCCGCGTGCACGCCACCAATTGGCAGCCAATAGCAAGCCAGCCAAGCATTATGAGTGCATGCTTCTTTCTTCGAGCAACATCCGAGCGTCTGAAGTCTCGGACAGCATTCAATCGGTTGACGCACTCCGCCATGGGCACTCCAGCAGGGTCCATAGAACGAGTGGGCACTCCACGAGTTCGCCATGCGATGATTGCGTGAGAACTGCATGGAATCTCCAGACCGATGAGATGGGATGAGTGGTCGTTGCGCGGGCTGTAGCAGTAGCCGGTAATTTCCAGCGGCAATGATGCGTGCATCACATTCTTATAACACCCACAGTGCCCGTCCGCGAATTGAGCTGCGACTTCCAGCCTCGTTATGGTAATGAGATAGCGTCAAAGTTCGATCTCAATCTCTGCAGTTGCGGGTCGACTCTGACAAATGAAGATGCCCTGAGGACGGTCACCCTCTGGACCATAGACTTGGCCTTTGGTAATCCTGACCTCGCAGCTTCCACAGATGGCCGATCGGCAGCCAAATTTTGGTTTCAAGCCCGTCTTCTCTGCGAGTTGGAGAATCGTAAGATTTTCTTGCCGAGTCCATTTGGCTTTGACGTTGGATTTTGTGAAGGTGACTAGTGCTTCGGTTGGGTAGTCTTCGATGTCGGCCATGGTGTTGAAGGAACTGTGGATAGAAGGTAGGGTGCATTGTATTGCATTGCATTGCACAGGACTGCGTGTATCAGGTGTAGGAAGCGTTGAGGAGATTCGTTCTTGCCTCGGTAGAGCAAATTTGATGTGTAATTGATTCTGTCGTTGAACTGCGCTTTCAAATTCCGTCCCAGCCCGACCCAGGAGTCTTCCTTCCTCTCTAGTCTCTCTAACACACCAACATCTACTTATCCTACTCTTTCGACCTACTAGACGTATATACTTACAAGATATACAAGACCTAGGCTACTCCTACTAGAGCTACTAATCCTATCTAACCTTCCTACTATTAAGTATACTATACGCTTTAGTCTTAAGTTCCCTAAAAGAATCGAATACAGCTACGTCTTAAATACGGTATAATAATGTCCTCTACTAAGTTATTTCTTACCTACCTTCGCGATCCTCTCTAGAACTATTCGAATAAGACTATTATAGATTTTCCTAATTTTCTATAATAAGGGTTATGTTAGCAGGTAGATAGGGTAGTAGTAAATTAGTATAGTATTCGATAAGGATCTAGGAGGAGAGGGAGGAAGGCAGGAGAGTTAGCCTAACGCTAAGCGCTAAGCCCTACCTAAGGTTATAGGTATTAAAACCCTAGCTTTACTCGGCCTAGTTATATACTAATTACATATAGCCTCTTTAGCCCTAATATACGCTTCCCTTCTAAAGGCCGCGCCCTCGTAGCCTGTCTATATTCTAATCTCGACCTCTATTGCTACTAACTTAGTAAATCTAATAAGCTACTTAGCCGCGCTAAATTAAACACTTAACTACCTAATTATGTAACTATATCAAACCTTACCTTCTAATACAATATCTAACTCTAACTGCGCTATCCTTATATATAATAAAGTAAAGGGATATAAAGCTATAAGAATAGAGGGCTATCGACTAATTATAATATAGGCGCGTCTTCCCTACTATAATAGGTAGACGTACGAGGTATTATAGTACTGCCTCCGCTCTAAGTAATGTCGTTCCGAGTTCTTTGCGTCTACTCTAAAAGACCTAGCTATATCCGCTTCCGAGGGTTGTCCGCTTCCGAGGGTTTGTTCTTATTATTATAAGGGCTATTATTGTTCGTAGTTTCGCTAGCCCTAATTAGTTAAGTTTAGTAGCCTTCAATTGTCAATCTTATCTTATCTTTTTAGAAAAAACATAGCTCGTCTAGTTTCTATAGGTAAAGGCTATTATAAGTATAGTAGTTAAGGTTCGCCTCGCTTAAAGGGTTAGAAGGATCGAGGAGTAACCTATTGTCCGTAAGATCGACCCCGGCTAGCTTAGCTCTATAGTTTTGCCCTTAGTTAGTCTATTAGTCGCTTAATCTTTTAGGCGGCTTAAAGTTTTGATTAAAGTTTTGATTAAAGGTGCCTTAGGCTCGTAGTATAAGTAAGGTTGTATCCGTAGGCGTAGTAATAATAGCGAGTAATGTCGATAATAGCGGCGCTAGCTATCTTAGCGCTAACTTTACCTTGCTTCTAATTTCCTTCTCTAACTAATAACAACTTAGTAATACTATTACTAATATAGCCGCGCCGGCTGCGCCGTTACAAGCGCGACGCCGTCCTCGCCGATCGCCTAGGCCTCGAGGCCTTAATAGAATAAAGGATTAAAAGGGGGACCTAAATACTAGGAGAAGGGCCTTATAGGGCGCATTAGTAAAGAGGTAGAGCCCTTAAAAAAGCATACGATTAATTAATTGACGCGTCGTAGCGCGCCTAGTATAGTCTTGTTGTCCTAGTTTGCTAGCCTCTAATTAGTTAGCTAATAGCACCCTAGGGGTAGCATTGTCTCTAGGCGGCATTATAGGCCCTTAGCCTTCTTCTTGTTCTTTATACTAGTCTAATACTTATCTAATAACTTAGTTATATCTTTAAAAGAACCTTTAGCTTCCTACGAGTCCTATTTAGGCGAATAGCCTTACTACCTTAACAGGTACTCTTTCTTGCCTTTCCTAGTCCGGTGCTATAGGATACGTTCTATAGACTACAGCTCTTTACTATCCGCTAGTATGTCTTCGTATTTAGTAGGTGCTTTATCCCCCTCGCGTAGGTAATATAGCTTTAGGAGGAATACGTAGAGGGTATTATAGATAGTATAATAAGGGGGAAGCTATAACTAGTAGGCCTGTATGCCCTTAGCCTCTCGGATACGGAATAGACTAATATATCTTAGTGCAAGCTTAGGCCTCGTTTTACCGTTAGGTAATAGGTGTTTGCGGATGCGGAGGTTCTTCGTACTAAGCGTAACTATATCGCCTTGTTTGAAGGTTATTAGCGTATAGTGTTTGTTATAATAGGCCTTCTAATAGGCCTAGGCCTTTGCTAGTTTGTTAGCTATCTTAGCGTGAATTTCTCGCATCTTTTGAACCTTCTTAATAGCCACTAGTGTCTCTAGTGCTTAACGCGCTTCCCTTTCCTTACGCTCGGCCTCGAGCGATAGTAGGTCTTGTAGCGTAGCAGTATTCTAGCCTATTATAGCTATATATAGTAAAACCTTAGTAGATGAGTATATACTATTGTTATATACGAATTCTATAGGCTATAGGAGATTGACCTAATCCTCGGGGTTTTTATTAATATAGCTACGCAGGTACTACTATAGGGTAGCATTCTGCCTCTCTGTTTAACCGTTAGTCTGTAGATAGAAGGCTGTTAATAGCCGATGCTTTAGTCTTAGCTATAGGCATATTTCGCTCTAATAATAGGATATAAATATTAAGCCTCGGTTAGAGACTATCCCTTTAGGGGTCCCCTAATAGCTACAGAAGATGTTGTTCTATAGTAACTTAGCTAGGTTAATAGCCGTCTAATCCTTTCGGGCAGGAATGTAACGAGCGCCCTTAGTAAACTAGTCTACGACAACTAGGATAGCATTATATATATCCTTGCTTCCCCTACGCTTAGCAGGTAGAAGGCCTATAATAAAATCTATTATAAGCTTAGCAAATAGCTTCTTTAGAACAGGGAGTGAAGACAACTCGCTAAATAGTAAGTGCTTTAGTGCTTTAACTCGTTAATATACGGCATATATATTTACGTAGTCCTTTATATCCCGCTTACTATTTAGCTAGTAGTATATACGCGATAGTAGCTCGTACGACCTCTCTATACTATAGTAACCGGCAAGCTTGCTATTATAGTGTCGCTTAAGAAGTTCTTGTCGGATCGAATGTTTAGCGGGGATATAGTATCTGCCCTTAAACTTTAAATAACCTTTGTTATCGATCGACTAGTTATTATTCTTACTAGATCGGGTCTTTCGCCTACTTATAAGCTTATCGATACGTTTAGTAGCAAAGGCGTCCCTCTACTAAGTACGTAATAGCTTATCTATAAACGATTGACTATCCCTATTTATAAGGTTATTTAATAGTACCCTCGCTATTAAACGAGGTACGCATTATATATATCTAATAGCACTAGTAGCCGGATTAACTATATTAGTGCTTTAATCGCTGTTACTATATATAGCGATATCGACTAGGGAGTTATTATAACTTCTCCTATCTGTATCCTTAGCCCTTGCCTTAATACGCACTATTAATACAGCAAGAGCATTAATATACTTTAAGCTGTCGCGGAGTCCGGTAAGCCGCTTATCCTACGCGTGCTTATTAATAATACGGGCTATAGCAATCTTATACTATAGGGTTAGAAACAAAGAATTAATATGCTAGGTCTCGCTATCGTAATTAGGTCGCCTCGATAGGCTATTAGTAGGGTTGCTTACGCCTAGCTAATATAATATATTAAAATCGAACCCGGCGAGGTAGACGGCCTATCTAGCCTATCGACCTATAACCCTAGTAACCTTCGTAATGCTACGGAGGTTGTTATAGTCTATATAGACCTATATTATATATTAAGCCCTATCGAGGTAGTGCCTCTAGTGCTTAAAGGCCTCGACGATAGCTAGAAGCTCTTACTCGTAGGTCTCGTAGCGACGCTCTATATCGATTATCTTTTGTAAGAAGAAGGCAATTAGGTGCTAATAGGTGTTATTAGCCTGTTATAATATAATAGCTAATATAGCGAACTATAAAGCGTTAGTCTCGATTCGGATCTACTTGCTTAGTACGAAATAGTATAATAAGGGGACTTTAGTAAATCGCTTCTTTAGACCGTTAAAAGTGGCTTGTGTTTTGTTAGTCTATTTAAACTCCCTAGACGGGTTAGCCTTGGTTTTAGTAAGCTTAGTTAGGGGTATTACATACCGTAAATAGCTCTTAATAAAGCGACGATAGAAATTAGCGAAGCCGAGAAACGACTATAGTTCCTTAATTAACGTAGGAACAGGCTATTTAGTAATAGTTTTAATCCGATTAGGATTAGCCTTAATACTCTTAGTTAATATAAGGAAGCTAAGGAAGGACACCTCTTTAGTAGCAAAGGTGCATTTAGAAGGCTTATAATATAGGCTATAGGCCCGCAGGCGGTCGAGCACCTTACGTACTATAGCCTAGTACTCTATAATGTTAGGTAAATAGGTATAGACTAGGATGTTATCTAGGTAAACTATATAGAGATAGTCTAATAGACCCGAAAGGGCCCGATTAATATAGGACTAGAATGTTGTAGAGGCGTTTGCTAGCCTAAATAGTATAACTAAATACTCGAAATAGCTATAGCGGGTACGGAAGGCTGTTTTCTATTTATTACCCTTACGGATACGGATGCGATAGTATGCATCCTTAATATCTAATATAGTATAGTAGTAAGCGCTAGAGAGGCGATCGAGGGTCTCGTTAATAAGCGGAAGTAGATAGCGGTCTTTAATAGTAATAGCATTAAGTCTACGGTAATTAATATATAGGCGTAGGCTACTATCCTTCTTTAGTACGAATAGGATAGGTGCACTAGTAGGACTGTTACTGTACCGAATACGACTGTTAGCTAGGTTTTCTTCTAGGTACTTACGCAATATAGCAAGCTCGCGCTTACTAAGGTTATAGAGTAGTCTAAAAGGAACCTCTTTGCCCTCTATAATATTAATCTTATAATCCGTCTCTTTAAATATAGGCAATGTCGATGCTAGGTAGTGTTTAAACACATTAGTATAGGTCTCTCGAATAGGCTCCGGTATACGAGCAAGCTAATTAGGGCCTATACTATTAGGGGGTATAGGCTTATCGTTATCGCCTAATAGGTCGACTATTAGGTTAGCTATAGTAGGTATTAGGTTGCCGATAAATAGGACCCTAATATCGTTAGGGCACTCGCTAATATCGATATATTTAATATCCTCTTTCCTAGCGATTCTAAATCGCTACTATTAAAGGCCTAGGTCTATAACTATAGCGTAGTACTTAAGAACAGGGTTGCTAATAACAATATCGGAGGGGAGGCTGTCTATGTCTACTGCGTAGGTAGTAAAGTTTAGTAGGCGCTTATTGCCGAGGTCGTCCTTTAGGGCTATATAAATATAGTAGGCTCTATAGGTTAAGTGCCGAGCGTTATTAAACTAAGCAAGGGTTAGTAGGTTGGTCCTAGGCAATTGTCGGAGGTCTAATTGCTTAGCTAGGCGATAATTAATAAGGGCACTAACTAAATTTCCTAGGTCTAGCGTAACCTTAGTTTTATAATTGTTTCTATATATATCCCCTACGAGATAGGTACGTATAATAGCTAGTACAATGTCGATAGTCTTACGCCGTACAAGGCTAACAGTTAGTGCGGCGCTTATTCTTTTTTCGACTAATTAGAAGGTTAGCCTATAGGGGTAGCGTTAGCTACTAAGAGATGCTTTCGGTACTTAGCGGCAGTACGGTCGACTCGGGCCTAATCCCTAGGTTTGTCGCATTAGCCTAGCAGATAGCTAGTGCTATCGCAATTAAAGCACTTTAATCTAGTTAGGAGGTTGCTATAGCTGCTATTAGTCGAGCGGTTAGCGTTATAAGGATACGAGCCCCTTCTACGGCCCCTATTACGGCCTCCTTTATATAGCCGTCGGCTACGACCTCTTCTACGGTCGTTACTATTCCTATTATTAGCACTATTGTTTTAGGTAGAACCTTAGTTTCCTCCTCGGCCTCGGTTGCTACGGTTAGTACTAGCTAGTCGGATCCTCGATTCTAGTCGTTGCTAGAGCTAAACAGCTCGTTCGGCTGTTTCTACTTTGACTATAAATTAAATACGTATTAGATTAGCCTGTTCGAACACACGGCGGCGGTCTAATTTAAGGATAAGCTTCTACCTAAGTTTTAGGCGTATCTTAGAGATCTATATAGAATTAGTCTTAGCCGGAAGATCGTCCTCGAGGGTCTTTAAATAGGCCTTAAATAAACGAGCCGATTAATTAGTCTTTTGTTTAGCCTAAAGGTACTAGTCCTAAGCGTATTATTGCCTTAGTATAGGGTTTCTAAGGGTGTCTAGTATAATGGTTTTGTAGGTTTGCTACTAAACAGCGGTCTAATTAGTAAGGGAGTTAAAGTAGTTATCCTAGGTACGCTTTAGGTCTCTATTAATATATTGTATAGCATAGACGACTAGCGAATAGTCGTCTAGTAGGGCCCTTAGTATATTCCGCTAGTTCAATTCACAATTACGTATATAATCATTATACTACTTGCGGCTAGAGCTATTAAATACGGTACAGTCTTTAAGCTTAGCATCCTTCTTTTAAATAGAAGGTCCTACTACTAGTTCTAGTCTAGTAGTAGTTGTTAGGGCTTCCTATAGGCGGCGAATCTCGAGGAGGTTATCCTTTAGCTATTATTCTTAACGTAGGGCAGTAAGCCTGTTTTAGGTAGCTTCTTAGAGTCTCCCTACTAGTTAGGGGCTAAAGGCTAGTTAGCTATATCGACGGTTAATAATATTGTTAAGAATGTCGTCGATAGGCAATTCTAGGTCGTTACCTAGAATTATAGGTTCTTTAGTAGGCTTAGTAGTAGGCCCTTTAGTAGGAGGCACTTTAGTAGGAGCTTTAGTAGGCACTTTAGTAGGCACTATACTACTAGCGTTGTTATTGCTAGCGCTGCTAGCGGCAGCACGGTTATTGTTGCTTCGTAATAAGCCGGCTATTATAATAGGGGGTAACGCTAATAATGTATTATTAGCCCCTAAGATACGGATATAGCGGAATTAGTAGATATTAGTCTAGTACGATTAACTTAGTATAATAGGCTGTATAGAAGGCCTTGCTTAATAATTAGTACGGTTGTTTCGATAGAATAGTACGTATAGGTCCCGTTCTTCGGGCGTAATATAGTTAGATTAGTCTTGTTCGTAGCTATACCGCTAAAAGCTTGAAATAAGAACTATCTAGCTACTGCCCTTAAAGGGTAGATCGAATACTATATAATAAGGGTTATGTTAGCAGGTAGATAGGGTAGTAGTAAATTAGTATAGTATTCGATAAGGATCTAGGAAGAGAGGGAGGAAGGTAGGAGAGTTGGCCTAACGCTAAGCGCTAAGCCCTGCCTAAGGTATCAAGACCCTAGCTTTACTCGGCCTAGTTACATACTAATTACGTATAGCCTCTTTAGCCCTAACATTTTCCGCCTTAGTAAAATATACGATAATTAGACTTTCGATCTCTTCGGTCTAGTTCTAGCCTTTCTAATATCTAAGATCTCTATAATGCTTCCGAGCGGTAACCGTCTATTAATAGCCTAATTAGTACTAGTTGCGTCCTAGATATTATAGAGTCTATATATAGTATCTTTAGTCGCAAATCTTAGTATAGTATAACTAACGTACCGACTTAGGCAAGTTAGGGGTTCGTAACCCCTAGCTAATTCTAAGTAGTTAACGTTCTAACTAATCCGTTATATAGCTAGTATAGCTAAGAAATTTCCGCTATAGTTCCTACTTAGTAACTATATAATAATAAAGTAGTTAGAAAGCACGGGCGAAGTTATATAATTATTCTCTTCTTACCTAGAATCGTAGACTAATAACTAGCGTTAGATAGCTATAAGTCTCGTCGATACTAATATATAATTTGCCTAGTAAATCGGCGAAATATTAAGGCATATATCCTATATTAATAATTATAGTACTCTTAGTCGAAGAACGAATAGGCTAAATATATATAAGGTAATATACGTAGAATTCTCCCCGACCTTTCTAACTCGTAATAGACGCTTATCCTTATCTACTAGAAAATACTCGAATTCTATAAGGTCGCTTTCGAGATTCTAAAGATTAGAGATATTAAACTTATATTAACGATAGCCTAGGAGAAGGATCGCTTACTAGGGATTATCTAAGATTTCCTTAAATATACTAGTATCCTTAAGGATATTATCTAGACTGCTATTTTAGAAATCTCTATAGATATTAGAGATATCCTTTAGGAATAGTAAAGTAAGTTTAACTGCTTCCTCGGTAAATCGCTACTAATACGCCTAGTCTTAGACTAGTTTAGAAGAGAGTACGCGAACTTCTAAAGTTAATACTACTGTTAGAGGCTATACGTGATTGGCATGTAACTAGCTCGAGTGAAGCTAGGGTCTTAGTGCCTTAGGCAGGGCTTGGCGCTTAGCGTTAGGCTAACTAGCCTGCCTTCCTCCTTCTCCTCCTAGTTCTCTATCGAATACTACTTGTACCTACCACTACCCTATCTACCTGCTAATATAACCCTTCTTATACAGTATTCGATCTACCCTTTAAAGGCAGTAGCTAGATAGTTCTTATTTTAAGCTTTTAGCGGTATAGCTACGAACAAGACTAATCTAACTATATTGCGCCCGAAGAACGGGACCTATACGTACTATTCTATCGAAACAACCGTACTAATCATTAAGCAAGGCCTTCTATACGGCCTATTATACTAAGTTAATCGCACTAAGCCGATATCTACTAATTCCGCTACATCCGTATCTTAGGGGCCGATAATACATTATTAGTGTTATCCCCTATTACAATAGCCGGTTTATTACGAAACAACAACCGTACTGCCGCTAGCAGCGCTAGCAATAACAACACTAGTAGCACAGTGCCTACTAAAGTGCCTACTAAAGTACCTACTAAAGTGCCTCCTACTAAAGAGCCTGCCGGAGAGCCTGCTAAAGAACCTATAGTTCTAGGTAACGACCTAGAATTGTCTATCGACGACATTATTAACAATATTGTTAACCGTCGATATAGCTAACTAGCCTTCGGTCCCTAACTAGTAGCGAGACTTTAAGGAGCTACTTAAAACAGGCTTACCGCCTTGCGCTAAGAACAATAGCTAAAGGATAATCTCCTCGAAATTCGTCGCCTATAGGAAGCCCTAACAACTAACACTAAGCCGATAATAGGGCCTTCCTTACTAGCAGTCCTAATTTAAAAGAAGGATACTAAGCTTAAAGACTATACCGTGTTTAATAGCTCTAGCCGGAAGCAGTACAACGACTACATTCGTAACTGTAAGCTTAACTAGCGCAACGCACTAAGAGCGCTACTAGACGACTATTCCTTAGTCGTATACGCTATGTAGTATATTAATAGCGACCTAAAGCATACATAGGATAACTATTTTGACTCCCTTAATAACTAGACTACTGTTTAGTAGCAGACCTATAAAACCATTATGCTAGACACCCTTAGAAACCCTATACTAAGGCAACAATACGCTTAGGACTAGTACCTTCGAGCTAAACAAAAGACTAATTAATCGGCTCGCTTATTTAAGGCCTATTTAAAGACCCTTAAAGACGACCTCCCGACTAAAACTAATTCTATCTAGATCTCCGAAATACGCCCTAAATTGAGATAGGAATTGGTCCTTGAATTGGACCGCCGCCGTGTGTTTAAGCAGGCTAATCTTATACGCATTTAATTTATAGTCGAAGTGGAAACAGCTAAACGAGCTGTCTAGCTTTAGTAACGACTAGAATCTAAGATACGGCTAGCCGCTAACAACCGCGGCCGCGGTAGAAACTAAGGAGGAAGTACTCCCTAAACGAACACTGCTAACAATAGAAACAGCAACGACTACTAACGTAGAAGAGGTAGGGGCCGATACCGCGGTAGAAACCCCTAGCGAGGAAGAGGGCAAGGAAGGGGCTTATTTCTATTTACCCCTAATCGTTCCTCTAATTCTAGCGCTAATCCGAGTAGATATAGCAATAATCTCCTAACCGGGTTAAAGTGCTTTAACTATAACAGCACTACTTATTTACTAGGCTAATGTAATAGACCTCGAGACTAGGCCCGAGTCGACCGTGCTACCGCTAAGCACTAAAAGCACCTCTTAGTAGCTAACGCTACCCCTATAGGCTAACCTTCGAAAAAAGAATAAGCGCCGCACTAACTGTTAGCCTTATACGGCGTAAGACTATCGACATTGTACTAGCTATTACACGTACCTATCTTATATCTAGGCGCGACACTAACTATAAGGCAAAGGTTATACTAGACCCCGGAAATTCAGTTAGCGCCCTTATTAACTATCGCTTAGCTAAGTAATTAGACCTCCGACAATTGCCTAGGACTAATATACTAGTCCTTGCTTGGTTTAATAACGCTCGGCACTTAACCTATAGGGCCTACTATGTTCCTATAGTTCTAAAAGACGACCTCGGAAATGAACGCCTACTAAACTTTACTACCTACGCGATAGACATAGACAGCCTCCTATCCGACATTGTTATTAGTAACCCTGTTCTTAAGTGCTATACTATAGTTATAGACTTAGGTAGTTAATAATAGCGATTTAGAATCGCTAGAAAAGAGGACATTAAACACATCGATATTAGCGAGTATCCTAATAATATTAGGGTCCTGTTTATTAGCAACCTAACACCTGCCTTAGCTAATCCGATAGCTAATCTTCTCGGTAGAGATAACGATAAACTTGTACCCCCTAATAGTATAGACCCTAATTAGCTCTCTCGTATACTAGTGCCTATTCGAGAAACCTACATTAATGTATTTAAACACTACCTAGCATCGACATTGCCTATATTTAAGGAGACGGATTATAAGATTGATATTATAGAGGGCAAAGAGGTTCCTTTTAGCCCCCTCTACAACCTTAGTAAGCGAGAGCTTGCTATATTACGTAAGTACCTAGAGGAAAATCTAGCTAATAGCCGCATTCGGTATAGTAACAGCCCTGCTAGCGCCCCTATCCTATTTGTACTAAAGAAGGATAGTAGCCTACGCCTATGTGTTAATTACCGTAGACTTAATGCTATTACTATTAAAGACCGCTATCTACTTCCGCTTATTAATAAGACTCTCGATCGCCTTTCTAGTACCTACTATTACACTATATTAGACATTAAGGACGCCTATTACCGCATCTGCATTCGCAAGGGCGATAAATAGAAGACAGCCTTTCGCACTCGTTATAGCTATTTTAAGTACTTAGTTATACTATTTAGGCTAGCTAATGCCCCTACTATATTCTAGTCCTATATTAATCGGGCCCTATTAGGCCTATTAGATTACCTCTGTGTGGTTTACCTAGATAATATCCTAGTTTATATACACTTACCTAACATTGCGGAGTACTAGGCTACAGTCCGCAAGGTGCTCGATCGTCTAAGAACCTATAGCTTGTATTACAAGCCTTCTAAATGCACCTTTGCTGCTAAAGAGGTGTTATTCCTTAGCTTTCTTATATTAACTAAGGGTGTTAAGGCTGATCCTAATCGGATTAAAACCATTACTAAATAGCCTATTCCTACGTTAATTAAGGAACTATAGTCGTTCCTCGGCTTCGCTAATTTCTATCGTCGCTTTATTAAGGGCTATTTACGGCATGTAATGCCCCTAACTAAGCTTACTAAAACCAAGGCTAACCTAACTAGAGAGTTTAGATAGACTAACAGAGTACAAGCCGCTTTTAATGGTTTGAAGTAGCGCTTTACTAAAGTCCCCTTATTATACTATTTCGTACTAAATAGGCAGATCCGTATTAAGACTAACGCCTTACAGTTTGCTATATTAGCTATTATGTCACAATAATCGGATAAGGACTGCTATTAGCACCCGATTGCCTTCTTCTCGAGGAAGATAATTAATACTAAGCGTCGCTACGAGACCTACGAACAAGAGCTACTAGCTATTATCGAGGCCTTTAAGCATTAGAGGCACTACCTCGATAGGGCTTAATATACAATACAGGTCTATATAGACTATAACAACCTCCGTAGCATTACTAAGGTTACTAGGGTTATAGGTCGACAGGCTAGATAGGCCGTCTACCTCGCCGGATTCGATTTTAATATATTATATCGGCTAGGCGTAAGTAACCCTACTAATAGCCTATCGAGGCGACCTAATTATAATAGCGAGACTTAGCAATCTATTAATTCTTTGTTTCTAACCCTATAGTATAAGATTGCTATAGCCTATATTGTTAATAAGTACGCGTAGGATAAGCGGCTTACCGGACTCCGCGACGGCTTAAAGCATATTAATGCTCTTACTATATTAACAGTGCGTATTAAGGCAAGGGCTAAGGATATAGATAGGAGAAGTTATAATAACTCCCTAGTCGATATCGCTATATATAGTAATAGCGATTAAAGCACTAATATAGTTAATCCGGCTGCTAGTGCTATTAGATATATATAATACGTACCTCGTTTAATAGCGAGAGTGCTATTAAATAACCTTGCAAATAGGGATAGTTAATCGTTTATAGACGAGCTGTTACGTGCTTAGTAGAGGGACGCCTTTGCTACTAAACGTATCGATAGGCTTGTAAGTAGGCGAAAGACTCGATCTAGTAAGAGTAACAATTAGTCGATCGATAACAAAGGTTATTTAAAGTTCAAGGGCAGATACTATATCCCCGCTAAACATTCGATCCGATAAGAACTTCTTAAGCGACACTATAATAGTAAGCTTGCCGGTTACTATAGTATAGAGAGGTCGTACGACTTCGTTACGAAAACTTTTTTTCCGATCGCGACGATCCTATCGATAGGATCGCTTAGGATCCTTAGGATCCTTAGGATCCTCGGGATCGCACGTTAAAGATCTTGTCGGATAGGATCGCTCGGGATCGCGGGGCCGCGATCCTATCGACAGGATCCTCGCGATCGAAATTTCGGGACGGGCCGTCCCGAAATTCGAGGCCTAGGAACGCAAAGGACGCGGGGTAAGTTAGAGCCCGACTGCTACTACTCCGTATAACGTGTATAAGGAGGACTTCGTAATGCTACCCTCTTCGTTAGCGTAGTAGGAAGGGCCGCTACTAGCTGTTTCCGGTAGACGCTAAACGATTAGTAGTTAGTTTAGCATTGATTAGAAAGCGGCAACCTCCGCGAACCTCGATAAGCAATACCTCCTACTAGCCTAATTCTACCCTTTTATAGAAGCTCGGAGGTTGCCGAGCTTGGCTTAGCGGCACTTAGCTGTTCGACTAGGCTTTATACTACCTATTTCTATATTACTACATTCCATTATAATACATTAGTAACAATTATAGAATTATAGAACCGGATACTGCGATTATTTTAGTGCAAAAATCAGTATAATCGCATCGCTATAGGGCGCACATT